TCACGTTGAATATGTTAAATTAAATACCATAATAATATAATTTGTATATCAATAATAATAGTATACGTATAATTCATTAGATCATTAGAATAATCTTATGATATATCATATCATAATAATGATATATAGTCATACAGAGATGGTAATGGCAGTAACAATAATGATAATTGACTATCATAATCGTGATTCTTAGAAGTAGTATAACATATTCATGCAGATAATGCGAGTAACAATGAAAATCACATACATATATATATATATATATATGTATATATATATATATATACATACTAATACAGGTGCAAAGATGGGTATATTAGGCTACAGGCTGCTGAAATCAGTTGCTTTGGCCCTGCAATGCTACATCTCTGGGAATTGTATTGTGACAAAGAAGACCCCTGGCATAAGAAGATTGGAATCATGCTGAAGCTGACCAATCGATGTGAAGACATCATACATGATGCCAAAGACGACCTTTCACTTGATGCTCAGAGTTCTGAATCTTTGGCCAAGTCTGTATTTGCACGTTTCCACCTGCAGCTGGGTGTAGCACAGCATTTTCGTGAAGCAGGAAACAATCAGCTCTTCACTGTGACTCCCAAAGCCCACTTCCTGTGCCATATTGCTTTGCTTTCAAAATTCATATCACCAAGGCTTTCTTGGTGCTTCAAAGGAGAAGATATGATGAAGAAAGTAAGGACACTTGCAGCTCATTGCTTCAAGCGCCTCAATGCCATGGAAGCTCCAAACAAAATTGCCAGGCATTACAGGATTGCCCAGCACTTTGCCATGTCCAAGGCTGACAAGCTTTGATTTTGTTCTTGATCCTTGCAATACACAATTATACATGTGGGTCTTGGCAATGCTGCAGTGAAATGTGCGGATAGAGAAAAAAGTGTGAGCTGCAGGGCTACACAGTTCTCAACCCAGATATGTACAATTACAAGACTTTACCTCTTTGGCATTCAGTGTGACTTGTCCTTTGCAACCTACAAGTTCAAGCCTTTCACTTGGTTTCCTTCACTTGCATCCTTTCACTTGTTCTATATCTTATCTTTTCCTGGCTCTTGACTTGTATCTTTCACTTGTTCCACCACAAATTAAATCATGGCTTCTCTTGTCCCTTAAATGCCAACATTGGAAAATTCGTTTACCTTATGCAACTCAAATATTGGTAGTCTTGTGCCTTTTCCAGATAATAACATGGAGGTGTTGTAGGTTATTTATCTTAAACACCTCAAGAAGTTTCAGGTTAATTTATCTTAATAACTTAAATATTTTGAGGTTATTTAAGTCAATAACCTAAATAATTTGAAGGTTATTTAAGTAAATAACCTAAAACGTGTTTAACCTAAAACTATGATTTAGGTTATTTAAGAAATAACCTAAAAGCTAGGATTTAGACTATAACCTAAATCGTGGTTTTTAGCCTAACCGGATCTTAAGGGTGTATATATATATATATGATTATATATGTATACATATGTGTATATATATATATCCATTCATATCCCATTTTCCTCAGATTTCTATCCCAGTCTATGACAAGGGCTCCACTCCGCCTCAGAATATACGGAGCTTTGCTCTACCATCAACTCCCTCTTGCTGGGCGACGCCTGGAGCCTCAGAAATCACCATGATTTCACCGCCAAAAGATTGGTGATTTAATGGCACAAAACATTGACAGTAGCGATGTGTCTCAAATGTTGGTGATACAAAGAAGTGTTGGGGATTTCACCATGCATCGGCGAAAATTGCATCTCGAAATTCTGTGAGTTAAAAAAAAACGGAAACCAGGGAAAACAACCATTTTATGGGGTTCTAATGAATCTATTTCATGAGATTGGGATATAAAACCATATAACAATATTGTATTCGGGCTTACCACTGTTGAGTTATGCTGTTAAGTCCCAAGATGTCCCAATACTTTTTTTTGTCCCCAAAACCCAGTTGTTTTGTGTTGAATACAGTTGTTTTGGTGGGTGTATACCCAGGAAAGATGAGGGATCCTATAGGATCCATGTATGCCATATATGATAACATTTACCATCAATATACCCCAAATGTTACCATATATGGCATACATTGATCCTATGGGGATTGACAATCAAACTAGGGGTTTATGAACATATGAATGTATGGCATGGACGATTCTGGGAAACTTCTAACGACCTTCACTGGCCGATTTTCATGGCTCCTATTTCTGAGTTGGAGCCATGGTGGTTTAAGTGGAGCTGACCACTGCACTTTCTGTGAAGGGAACCGAGGTCATCCGAGATCTAAAGGTGCTCTTGTTGATCCGTATTTGTTTTTCGCTTACCCTCTGGTAAACTAACGTAGCTATTGCAAATGGCCATAGAAATAGTGCATTTACCCATAAAAAATGGTGATTTTCCATTGCTATGTTAGTTTACCAATATGGCATATTGTTTTCATTAAGGGAACTGGAAGTTGAAGTGACTGGTGTCCAAACCCGATGGCTTCTCCATTTCATCGCGGTTTGCCAATCACTTTCAAAGCGACTGCTGTTTCAAACCTACTTCTGGGCCGCAGGGGTAGGCCTTTGACAGCAAAGTTCAACGAATTTCGCACAAAAAGATGCAGCCATGGCTTGGTTCATGGGAAGCTCTTCAGGAAAACCAAGGGATTTGCCATGGATTTGTCCCAGCATTTTGCTGCCAGTGAAGTGGAGTCCCCGGTAGGGCCATGCCATCCCTCCATCAAGGGGGCCTCCATTTTGCTCAGATCACCTACTCCTGCATTGGCGGACAGATTCGCACCAACACTTCAGCCCGGAGCCTCGGAGCCCTTGTAGTCTCGGAGTCTCAGGGCTGATTCGGTCGACAGCCAGTGGTGATTTGATCCCACCGAGGACTCAGCCATGACGGATCCATGGTGCTGGTATATATGCTAACATAAAGGGGGTATATTAATGGTAAATGTTACCATATATGGCAGCACCATGGATCCTATGGGTCAGTATCTTAACCAACCCAGGCAGAATTCCCAGCATTGCGGTCGTCTTCTGGTTTGTCCCCATAGATGTTCTTTGTTGACCCCTATAGCGTGCGAAAAACTTTCAAATGTTCGTTGGTTCAATCCAAGTTGTCACATCACTTTTGAATCACAATGAGCGCCGCCTGAATTTTTGAGGATATGGAAATCCCGTGACATTTCGTTATTTTCGTGATCAAATCTGGATTTTTCTTCGTTTTATTCTGATCAACCACCGAAAGGATGGTTGAAACCTTTATAAACAATGGGATGAACCACCTATCAACTCGTACAAGATTTCTTCCAGCCACTGTATCATGTGAAATCAGCATAAATCAGCCATTTTTTCCTGGCTTTGGACGGTAGCTCTGAGTTTCGGGGCCGCCCAGGCATGCAATGCTCCGTGCAACGAAACATCGGTGCGGCTTTGCGGCTGTGTTTGTATTTGAAGGGCGATGGAAAGCAGTTGGCCATTGAGCCTTAGGAATCCTTCTGGACCCTTATGGGATACACTGTGGTTGATTCTGTATGGTTGCTCCCAACAAAATCCATCCAAGTCCCTGTTAATTAAAGTGTTTAGAACATAGCGAGCTATTCATCAAACATGGGGCTTGGGAGAAGGTCCTGTCTAAATAGGAGACCCATAAATTATAAACTATGGGTGAAACCGGTGAAACATAGTTCAACACTATTTCAACATTCTGGTTTAGGGTTAATATAGTTTAACAGTCAACAGTATTTCCGAAATTTAGGGTTAAACACAGAGAATGTGAAATTATGGGTGAAACATCCTTTTTTTTTCACATGTTTTTTTTTACAACTCTTTGTTTTTCTTAGTTTCTATCGAGACGCAGTGAGCTGCCAGGACCCCACCCTGCATGGCAGCACGGTGTATGTCACCTGTCCCAGCTTCTTGGGCAGTCGGGAAACTCGGCTACGCCGGTCTTTTCGGCGCCGGTTTCACGGGCTTCATCTGGCTTTATGGGGATATAACTACCCTCTGGTAATTAACATAGCCATGGAAAATGGCCCATTTATAGATGGTTTACCTATTAAAAAATGTGATTTTCCATGGCTATGTTAAATATCCAGATGGTATATAAATCAGTGAACCCAGTGTTTCACTGGCTATTTATTTCCATGGCTATGTAGTGATGTATATTTATAGGGATTTATAAATTATCTGGTTGGTACAGTTTCAAACATTTGGATTATTGTCCATTTCATATATAAAATGTCATCCTTCCCATTCACTTTCACTCCATGATTTTTCAAGATGGGCACATTGCATCACCAACCAGATCGATGAATTCACTGAATTCACCATGGTTATATGATAAATTCCCTAACGGGTATTTAATGGCTATTTGATTCATGGGTCAATCTATAAAGCAACTGACGGCCGAAATGGGTTGATGAATGGGGGATATATGTAACTTGACTCTCACCTTGTAAAGAAAGAAAAAGGAATCCCCAAAAAGGCCCTATAAAACATGCTTACACCATCAAGGGTATTCAGAAACAAAAATGTGGGGTGAAAATTTGGCGATTGATTTCTGAGTGCACTTTTCACAATCTCAAGATATCTCAAGTGATTTGTTGTTCTATTGGTGCCGTTTTCCAAGTTTGAGAAGACGTTTTTTGTGGGATAAAAAATTCTTGGCCTACAGATGGTGACACCCATAGACGCCATAGTACCAAGATCTCAGTTGGGTTTGTCATGGTTTATCTCAAAATTGGGGGTATATATATCGCCAATTCAGATGGAATATCCTAGCCGATTGAGATGATAAATTCTGATTTGAAGTGGATTATCTACCGTAACTATCCCACAACTACCATTTGAATTGGGTATATATATATATATATATTGGATTATCTCCAAAATGTTTTTTCTGATCTCCTATAATTGACATGTTAGATTTCCATAAATGTCTAAAATGTCCATAACTTGGTGACTTTTCATGAATTTCCCAACTTTGTGGCCGTGCGTCGTGCGTTACGTAATGCGTTGCGTAGAGTGCCTCCAAGGCCAATACGATGGCAACGTCAGCATGACCTGTGCCGATGGAGTGGGGCATCCCCGGTGGCGGTCGAAACTCTCATTTTTTATCATTTGTTCCAAGAATTCATGTTAACAAAGATCACTAAAGATGATATGTATATATATATATATCATATAGTTTATTATACCATATAGTGACAGCTATCAATGTCAATGTTAACAATTGATAGATATTGATAGTTAACTGAAGATTGGAGGAATTGGACTGGCAATTCCCCAATAGTTTGCTTATTGGTGGTCGGCGGTGTCAAACTGTTGTGTTGCTGTCTTATTGCAAATAGAGCATGAAAACATGGAACCGAATAAAGTTGAGGAGCATCATTAGAAAATTGCCCATGGCACATCCGTATGAGACACACCCACATAGGGTCCAGGTTTTTTGCAGTTTTGGGATGCAGAACATTGGCGCGTCGCGGCGCGATGCATCCACTGATTTGTTATCATGGTCCCCATTGAGATTGTCAGATAAGGATATATAAGGAAGGTACCCCATCCATCCCCATCCTTGATCATCTGGTTGGTGATTTGGAACATTTTTATTTTCCCATTAATATTGGGAATGTCATCATCCCAACTGACGAACACCATCATGTTTCAGAGGGGTAGGGCGAAAAACCACCAACCAGTCATGGTTTTCATGGTCCTCGGCAGTTCACCCCGGTCACGATACATGGGTTAGCTATGTAGTTCACCCCAGTTACAACTGGACGTTGCCCTACTGGAGGATGAACTGGACGGAACTAAGGCACTTCAGAACTAGGTAGTGGCTTTAGAGGAAAACATGACATGTTTCTTGGCATTCTGTATTCTATAGTTAGTACTATAGTTTTTTCGGTGCGTATCCAGCTGGTTGTTTCAAGTATCGATCTGTGCATGGTGAAAACATGGCCCGGAAACCAGCAGCCACCTACATTGGTTTTATCGAGATGTACCCCAATGTTGCATGTGAAAATCTCATTCGTTGCCTTCTTAAATCTGTTCACCAAACGTTTCCCCGAAGTATTCCGATCACCTGTTGGTTTCCACATTAATGTTGATAATTTTAAAGCAGCCTAAAGCTGCCTAGTCTTTCATCAACTCGTCTTGCAGCCAGCAGGCAACTAGCCCATGTTTGGTGGTTCAATACCTTTCTGAAGAATACATTTCTTGAATAACTTTGGGCTAAATGTCATTGTTGAATACCTTCGACTTGGCCAATGCATATATAATCACATATATATATATGGGTATGGATCAATACCTATTAATACCATTTTTAGGGGAATGACCATCCATTTACCAGCTATTTTGATGTGAACTACAGGGGTACAAGGTTTTGACACACTGCCATATAGACAATTATACAATATTATACACAAAACATCACCACTTTGCATGTATCCATACGATGGTATATTTTAATCTACCAGTAGTACCGCACAAGGCGGTGGCGGAAGTTTCAAAAATAGGAAACCTATAGGAGAGGTTGGTTGTTGTGAATCAGGGATGGCAGAGCGAATCCACTGATGGACCGAAAGGTGCTTGAGGTCTCCTCTCTTTCTCTCTCTTTCTCTGACTATCTACCTACCTACCTATCTATCTTCTTTGTATCTATCTATCTATCTATCTATCTATCTATCGATCTCTCTATCTATCTATATCTCTCTCTCTATCTATCTCTATCTATCTATCTATCTATCTATCTATCGATCTCTCTATCTATCTATCTCTCTCTCTCTCTCTCTTTCATCTAATCACCTATCTATCTCTCTCTCTCTCTTTCATGTGTCTACCTGTCTAGCTGTCTAGCTGTCTACCTGTCTATCTATCTATCTATTTATCTATCTATCTATCTGTCTATCTGTCTACCGGTCTATCTGTGGTGCAGTGTCATTCAGTGCAATGTAGTGTAGTGTAATGTGGTGTAGTCTAGTGGAGTGTAGTGGAATGTAGTGTAGTGTAGTGTAATGTTGTGTAGTGTAGTGTAATTTAGTGTTGTGGAGTGTAGTGGAGTGTAGTGGAGTGTAGTGGAGTGTAGTTGTGTAGTCGTAGTTGTAGTTGTAGTGCAGTGGAGTGTAGTGTAGTGTAATGTAGTGAAATGTAGTGGAACGTAGTGTAGTGTAGTGTAATGTAGTGTAGTGTAGTGTAGTGTAGTGGAGTGTAGTGTAGCGTAATGTAGTCTAGTCTAATTTAGTGTAGTGGAGTGTAGTGGGGTGTAGTGGAGTGTAGTTGTGTAGTCGTAGTTGTAGTTGTAGTGCAGTGGAGTGTAGTGTAGGGTAATGTAGTGAAATGTAGTGGAAGGTAGTGTAGTGTAGTGTAGTGTAATGTAGTGTAGTGTAGTGGAGTGTAGTGTAGCGTAATGTGGTGTTGTGTAATTTAGTGTGGTGGTGTGTAGTGGAGTGTAGTGGGTGTAGTGGAGTGTAGTTGTGTAGTTGTAATTGTAGTTCAGTGGAGTGTAGTGTAGTGTAATGTACTGTAGTCTAGTGTAGTGGAGTGTATAGTGTAGTGTAGTGAACCGAAACGAAGCGAAGCGACATCTGAACCTCCAAAAGTGGTCCGAACCCCTGGTGTTTTAAACACTTTGACTTCGAAATGTGCTTCGCGCCACAATGGCGTGCACTTTTTCGACATCTGAACCTCCAAAAGTGGTCCGAACCCCTGGTGTTTTTAACATTTTGGCTTCGAAATGTGCTTCGCGCCACAGCGGCGTGCACTTTTTCGACATCTCAAGTGCCAGAAGTGGTCCGCACCTGGTGTGTTTTGTAGAGTTTGACTTGGAAATGTGCTTCGCGCCACAACCGCGTACACTTTTTCGACATCTCAACTTCTAAAAGTGGTCCGAGGCTGAGGTGCTTTGTACATTTTGACTTGGAAATGTGCTTCGCGCCACAACGGCGTGCACTTTTTCGACATCGCAACTGCCAAAAGTGGTCCGCACCTGGTGTGTTTTGTACATTTTGAAATGTGCTTCGCGCCACAACGGCGTGCAATTTTTTATCTCTCATCTGGCCAGCTGGCTCCGCACCCGCCGCTTTAGCGAGCCTACTTTTCGACCCTCTGGAGCCTCAAATCATTGGCAAAACACAGTGTTTCGCGACTTTCCTACCTTTTCGCGCATCTGCATCTTCTTTCTTCTGGCTCTTTCTCTTCTGATCTTCTCTCTTCTAATCTTTCTCTTCTCTCTGCCTCTGCCTCTGCCCTGCTCTGCTTTTCATCTGTCCATATTGTCGGAAGTTTGACTTCTAAACTTCCTTCGATTAAATCTATTACGTGTAATATTGTCACAATTTAATCAATGATACTTGTGTGACCATTAATATGATCTATACTTGTCATGTCCATATTATCTATTACTGTTATCTATTACTGTAATATTATCACCATTCAAATTGGTTCACCATTTCCGCCCCGAGACCTATCTGGCGGACTCCTCCGCCTGTGTTCGCGCCTGCTTGGTCGGGGAGACCGACACGGTGGTGGTCAACGGCAACAGTGTCGTGGTGCATTTTTCGGTCCGGAAAGGGTGGTCAATCAAAGTGGTGCCCCAGCTCGTTAGCTATATATAAGTTGATGCAAATGAGTCCAATTTTACTAGGGTTGATTGGGGGGTTGTATCTATACAGGATGGGCCCCCCAGTTATAAGTTGGTTTATAAACCATGAAATAATCCCCATGAATACTATAGTTATATCTACCATAAACCATAGAATTCAGCCACTTACAAGACATAATGGGGATTAAAATAAACCAACAAACATAACTAGGGGGCCACCGCCTTGATGGATTGGTTCGAGGGAAAACAGGAAAACCCCTAGTCGTTCATGTGAAAAATGATGGTTTCCGGTTAAGATTTTCCCATAAACCAATCCATTGAACTGGGGGATAACCATAAAATGTTTGTTTTTTTTTGTTTTTCTTTTATTTAATGTGCAAAACTACCCAGAAATTACCCTGCGGAAATCAAACATGACTGGCTGGAAAATCCACAATACATAAGATTATTTTATTGGGAACACCATCTAGAAATGTGGAATTTTCCATTGCCAGGTTTGATCACCGGGTAATCATATGGAATGTGGCTGGGTTTTGAACTCTGGGTCAACCACTTGGATGGATAGGCTGATGCTGAGTACTTCGTTACTAGCAGTTGCTGCAGCACATCGTGTTTTTTTTGTTCAGTATACTTGAAAACTTGTGTATTTATAGAATCAGTTAGTATCAGCTACTTATTGAACTTGTTGGATACTTATTCGAAATCTTTACAATGCTCCTGGGAATGGACATATGATGGGTTATGATATCATATATATATAATTATATATATATATGATTTTCCTGTGTCTGGAAACGGCGGATACCCATCAAATGGCCATAGAAATAGGGGAGAATTATGATTGATCATGCGAAGCCTCTAACTTTTCAGACGAACCCAAATGGAGCTGACAAACCCTCTAGATTTCGGGAGTTGTTTTGCGGGAAATCTACCGTAAAAAGCCAACACTTTGCAGGCCCTGCCATTGAATCAGGGTTGAAGGAGACCGACCAAGGAGTCGGTCACAAAGTTTGGCATTTTTGTTGTAAACCAGTTGACCATCACATTTTTCGGTAATGACTCAAATTTGACCCATAGAAGTTTTGTGAGTTTTATGAGTTTTCTTGAAAGTTGGGCCAACTTGAAGGGCGACTGATTTGCGTGGCTGCGAAGAAAAATTAACGGGCACCAGGTATGACACAGAATTTGCTCCCTGCTACTGTGAGCACTAGTGGGGGAACCGTGTTTTGCTACTGTTGGCTCTTCAACTGTTATATAGAACCTCTTCATTTAATTCCATTCATACATGTGCTTTTTGCTGCAGAATCAAAGGGTGGCCACTCCTAACAGTAATTTCATGTGTTGCAAGATCAAGCCAGGGTCAACATACTGTGTATGAACTCTACCTAAATTGAAGTGGGAATAGGTCAAGACCTATGAATCTCAATACAAAGGGGATGAAGATCCATTTACCGGCTGTTTTGATGTGAGCCCCAAAGTTCTCAGCCAGGCAGGGTATTTTTTTGGGGGGGATATCCCTCATTTTCAGACCCATTTCCATGCCGGACCCGGGGTCCCGGGCGGCCCAGGTCATACTGATGCGACGGTGACAGCACGCTTGTCCTCCGGAAACACGGAGACAGGGCTTCAGTGTAGCACGTTGGGATGCCTGGTGTGGGGGGTGGGAGTGGTGCAAAGGCATAAATTCCAACAGAAGCCAAGGAGCGTCACCATTCTCTACAGGATGGTGCCCCCCAGTTATAAGTAAGTTGGTTTATAAACCCCATGAATACTATAGTTAATCTACCATAAACCATAGAATTCAGCCACTTTTTTTAGGCAACTGAACGCTATCTTGGGGGCAAGAATCCTGTAGAATGGTTTATGAAATTGGATGAAATTGGGTATACCCCTGCATGGGATGATAAAGGTTTCTAAGTTTGCCAACGATTTTTGTTTTTGAGTGGATATAGCATGATATAGCTACTGGGTGAGTCTGAAACTGGTTTAGGATGGATAGTGAAGACGAAACAAACACAGTGGATCTTGGAATCCGTAACCCATTTCAGAGTTTGCTCTCTAAAAATTACTATTTAATTAGATATAATTAGACACTGCCTGCACACGAGGTAAAATCATTGGCCCAGCTTACTGTACTGGTGTCAATTACTGATCACGAAGCTTGAACCAAATCCATCCAAATCCCAAGGTTCATAATCTAGTTTTCCCATGTTTTCTCGGAATTGGGTTTATCCGAACAACCATGAAATTCCATGTTGACATGTCAACTCTCCAATGGAATAAACCATGTGTTCTCCATGTTGACTCCAAAATCTCATGCTTTGTGACTGTCAACATGCAGTGATGTTTATCCCCTGATCCTGAGACACTCCTTGGTTACTAGTTATAACCCCAGCCCGCTGTAAGAAAAACACCAACATTTGGGACCCAAAAATAAATAGATTAAATAGATACAATACAAAGGGTTTAGGCCATTTTAGGCCACTCGTGAGAAGGAACTGTTTTTGAACTGTTATTCCGTGACACTTTTGTCTTCCAGTCCCACTCAAATCTGCATGGCACTTCCAATGGTAAGGGCACCATCCCAGAATGGCTTTGCCGGGCACCACCGGTGGTGAAAATCCCAAAAAGTCCATGGAAATCGACCCGCCAATTCCACCATTACTGACATGGGGTAATAAGCTTCTTATACCCCAGGTATGTACGTGATATATATATACATATACATCTATACATACAGTATATACATAATTAATACATATATGTGCAATTATGTGTATATATAGGCAATCTCCGTCAATATCCCCAGTTCCTGTATGGGTTGTAGATGGGTTGTAGATGGATTATATTTAGCCCCCTCTTAACCAATCCCTTGCGCCAAGGCTGGATGCTGCGTATAGCGGAACCTATGACCTCACCTGTACCAACGGCCTGCTATGAACCCCAGACTGCTGCTGTTGAAGGATATCCCAAGGTGCAAATCCCCAAAAAATCGGAAGATCTATTTCTATTCTCAGAGTCTACAAATCTGGAAGCATGACTACATTATATTACCATTATTCCACAGGGATATTGATTATAGCAGTAACGTAGTGGCATTATTTCCACTATTACTGGTTGGTGGTTTGGACCACTTTTAATTTTTTCAGTTGGGAATTTCATAATCCCAACTGACGAACTCATATTTTTTAGAGGGGTAGGTCAACCACCAAGCAGATTACTTTTGGGATTTGTTTAGATGATCCAAACATATCCAAACCCATCCATGGTGCTGTCCCTGATGAATTCATCTTGAACTTCATATCTGATGAAGATCTCAGCAAGGGAGTTGTCACCATTTGGAAGAAGAACATCACTGGTTGGTGGTTTCAAACATGGCTTCACTTTTATTTTCCATTTCATATATATATATACATGTCATATATGGGATGTCATCATCCCAACTGACGAATTCCATGATTTTTCAAGATGGGCACAGCCAGCACCACCAACCAGGTCAGACCTTTCCTGCAATGTTGGATTCAACATCTAATAACATATGGCATTTGCATTTAATTGCCTATATATATACATATTAGATTATATTATTGGTATTGGTATATTATATTTGACTACACTACATTGCATAGTTTTTTGTTCATATATATATATATATTTACGTTACATTAAATTATATTACACTATTTAATATCGTAACACATTTTATTTATATATATACATTAGTATCTTTTATTTTCTTACATTACATTACATTACATTATATATATATACATACCATTGGCAAATTGGAGACGTAAAACTAGTCCATCTATATCACATCTATCTCCCATTTTTTCCCCACAACGCATCACCCTTTAGGTTGAGCGACTCTCACAGCTGTCATGAGATGTGTTTGACCACCGACAGCCCCTTGGCCAACAGTTAGTCGCTGGTCCGGTGTGGTCACCAGCGACTCATGTGCAGATTTGATAAATATAGTGGTTAATGATGGTTAATGATGGTTTTTATTATGGGATATACCTGGTTAATACTGGTTAATGATGGTTAATGGTTAATAATCACTGGTTGGTGCTTTGGAACATTTTTCCCATCATATTGGGAATTTCATCATCCCAACTGACGAACTCATATTTTTGAGAACAGGAATCTCATTGGATATTCCTGGGAGCTAATGGGATATATTCCATCAACTTAGTATGATGTTTTGGTGTGTTTGGAAGTGTTTTTTTGGCGGTACAACCTCCAAATGGCCACATTGATAGGCAAACTGTTATAAAATGGTGATAGGTGATAAGCCACCAAATTCTGCACTCAAGGGGAAACGTGGAAGCGCTTGGGTGAGTACATAAAGAGGATTTTCATATGGTGATATAACCTGATCGCTTTCGGGATCTACATAAAATTTACATAACACATCACTCTGGATCAGTGATCTGGATCTTTGGCGACAAACCAGGTCTCTACCCTCGCCAATTGGGTTCCAAAATCGGGAAGGAAGTATATGTCCATCACCAAAAAATAGCCAAGTAAGATCGTATACGTACTAATGATGGTTCTATTTGGGAATGCCCGTCATTCCCATGGATTTTTTGATGACTTGACGTGTTGGAATTCCTGGGTTCCGCCAGATCCAGGGGATCTGAAGATCCTCCCTGGGCTGGGGACTGGGTCAACACGATCGCCCGTCAGACGATCAAGAAGATCAACCAAGAGATGGAACCAAATCCTAGGTATTATCCAACCTAGCTAAGGGGGCACCACCTTGCATGCCAGAAAACAGTTAAACCCCTACTCACTATTGTTAAATGTGGTTGAATCATGTTATAAATCATCTTTATGGGTTGATTGCACCCGCATAATATAAGATCAACCCCGGATGAATACACCCCTTGTCTGTTGAGTTAGGGGTGCATACGGGTGCCACCTAAGTAAGAAATCATCATTGTTTGAGGAGAACCCCCTAATTAATCAAGCAGTGGTTTATTAACCTGGGCTTGACATATTTTTAAAGATATGCCGTGATATATCCACTTGCATCCCTCCATATCCCCCATGCCCATTGCATCCCCATAAATCCACCATTTTTCCTGTTACCATCTGGTTATGACTAATATAGCCGTGGAAAATCACAATTTTTAATAGGTAAGCCATCTATAAATGGGCAATTTTCAATAGCAAACTGTTAAATAACCAGAGCTGATTGGTGGTTTGGAACATTTTTTATTTGTCCATATATTGGGAACAATACTCCAATTTGACTTTCATATTTTTCAAGATGGTTAAAATCGGTTAAAACATGTTAAAACCACCAACCAGAGAGGGTAAATCCAGAATTTAGCTGGCTGAAATCCACCATTGCTGGCTGAAATCCACTCCCAGGTGTCACTGCGCTGGTGCGTGGAAGCAGCTACAACGTCCAGGGACCTGAGGGAGATCAGCGACTGACGTGATTCACTTTTTGTGATTTGAAGTGGTGAAAACCATGAAACATGCTGCTTTTATAGGGGATTTAAGCACTTTTGGAATGTGACTTAAGTGTGGATAGGTAATTTGGATTTAAGTGGAGATAATGGGATAAGTATGGAATACTTAATATAAGAATTTACTGGTTGATTTCGCCATGTTCCTTATATATGTTTGTTGTTTGATACACCCATCTAAGGATCTATACATATACCCTTTGGTTATTTAACATAGCCGTGGAAAATCACCATTGTTTAATAGGTAAACCATGGTAAACCATCTATAAATGGACCATTTTCCATGGCTATGTTAAATAACCAGAGGGTATATAAGTATATATATCTACCCGAAACACCCCTAAACTCTGTTTTTCACCTGTTCATAAACAAACTTATGTGGGCACCACCTGAAAGAGGGCATATCCCATTTATAACATTGTATAAGTGGGATTGACAACTATAAAATTGCTATTTGTTGGTTACCCTCTGGTAAACTAACAGTTTGCTATGGAAAATCACCATCTTTAATAGGTAAATCAACGAACTAAATGGTCCATTTTCAATACCTATGTTAAATTACCAGAGGGTAGGTAGCTGTGAATGGAACTATGGTCATATCCAGTTTTTCCAAAGTGAATTGGGAACCAAGGAGCATCAAGGAGCATCAAGGAGCTAGCATTTAGTTCGTCGATTTGCCGAGAAAAAAGTGGTCATTTTCAATAGTTATATTAGTTTACCAAAGGGTATTTCATATTGTCACCCATTCCATATACAGAAATCCATATCCATACCCGGTGGTAAACAAACATAGCTATTGAAAATCACCATTTTAATAGGTAAAACATCTATTTAAATTATTTCTATGGTCCATATCTATTTCTATGGTCCTTATTTTCCATAGCAATGCAACCAATTACCAGAGGGTAATGGTTATTGTTAATCTCTATGGATTATGACCAACTACCCTCTGGTAAACTAACATAGCTATTGAAAATGGCCATTTATAGTGGGTTTATCCATTAAAAATGGTGATTTTCCATAGTTATGTTAGTTTACCAGAGGGTACATGATAGATCATCAACTAGGGAATATCCCTGGCGCCATAACATGTGACGACTCGAGACCAAGGAACGAGCGCTTTCCAAAGCCCCCCAGAAATCTGAGATGAAGAAGTGGTGACCACATGTGACCACAACCATTGGGATTTAATGTAATATAACCCATAGGATCCATGTATGCTATATATGGTAACATTTAGCATCGATATACCCCAAATGTTAGCATATATACCAGCACCATGGATCCTATGGGTAATGGGATAAAAATATCATGGGACTAAAAGAAAGTGGGATTTAGTTATTGGATTTAGTTATTGGTTAACCAGTGGACATCCAGTGGATAGATTTCACCATAGGTAAAAAGGGCATTTATCCCAACAAAGACTTCTTTAAATACCACGGTTCGATCCAGTCGATTCCATGTGTGTTCATGTGTGTCCATGATTTACCTATATTCACCTATTCAACATGGTGATTTTCCACTTCGCAAACTGTTAAATAACAATGTGTTTCCTATAAATGTTTGAACCGTAAGCTGTGGCAAGCTTCGACATTGAGGTCATGCCTGTGAGTGACATCGTGCATGGTACAGTCTGGGATGCTCAGGATGCTGATGGGGAAATCAAACTGAGTTCTTGATTTTTTTGAACTGGATTCGGATATGTCCAATTAAAATTGATTACTGTACACTTGATAACTGAATATTTCCCAGTAATTGAAATCGAACTGACGGTATACTGAGTTACTGATATTATTATTGATTATACATCAGTATACCCCAATTTACCCCACTTGTATAACCAGCTATAACACAGAGTTGGAAGAATTAGCACCAGTGATATATCAGTATACCACATCCCAGCGCCAGTTTTATAACCAGTGCGTGGAAGGCAAGTCTTTCCCTAAATTTCTGTGGAAAAGACATGTTTGATTTGTTCCATTGCTTGATCTACCATTTGGGGCGGTCTTCATTTTGTATCACCCGAAAAACACAAATCCAAGATACTCTCTGGTAAACTCACAGTTCGCTATGGAAAATCACCATCTTTAATAGGTAGAAATTGACTATCAATAGGCAATTTTCCAGTTCGCAAACTGTTAAATTGCCAGAGATGGTAATCCAAGCATATTCTATGTACCGGGGCTTGCTGAGATAGTGGTGTGATTTGTTTAGTTTGTTCCGAATGGAACATCCACCATGGGGAATCGATTCAAATGTTTGTCAGCTATCAGCTATCAGCTATCACCTATGGTAACCATGTGATGTACTATACAATCATTATTGAGCAATATTAACAAATATATATGCCCTACTAATAAAGAAAGCAATATTAACCATTATTATATATCCCCTGATATTATTATACAGTCATTATTCTTCACAATATTAACAATTATATATCCCCTACGATATCACAATGTTATAAAGAAAACCAACAGCACTTCTCCACGATTTCTCCATCTAAGACTGGCAATGTCCCTTGCTCCAGCCATCTTACAGGCGGGACGGGGCGCTTTTGTCGCGCTTAAGAACGGGCGGGATTTCGTGGTGGGTGAAGCCAAAAAAAAGTGGGTTAATTACAGTGGTTGATAGTTAAAAATATTGATTTTAATGGCATTTTATGGGATATAAATGGATATAACAATACATATTATGATTATATTGGCTCACCACAAGAATCATAGGTTGGTTATGACACCATTCATTACTGGACTACGCGTGACTAACCCTACTTACCCTACTTTCCCTACTTATCCTACTTTCCCTACTTGCCCTACTTACCCTACTTACCCTACTTAACAGTGGGGTTATAACCCATGTACTTACTGTGGTGAGCCACCAAGTGGGGTAGGGGATTCAATCAGCATAAGGGAAAAACGTGGAGTTAGTATCAAGCATCGTGGACAAGCATTGATTTAACTATCCAACACTGTGGCGCACGTGGATTTATTGTCATGGTTTATTGAAGCAAATTTCACATGATCATTGTCTGGGGCCAGTGAATACCAACGGATATATCGGAGCAGGGGCCCTGCAGAGGTATAAACTTCTACATTAGCCTGTTTTGCTTTTTTTTGTTTTTATAATCATATCAGGGTTTTGTATGGTGTTGGCACATTTGGCACATAGCCATTTTGCTTAACATGATGTCTTGAAAATCCTGGTCACACTGGTCCCTGGTCGAATTCTTTGACAGGCTATGCTGGTGACATTGTCTTGACCTGTACAGAGGGCTCCATGCAGGTTGCGGGCTGCGGGAGGTTTCATGAATAGATAAAATGCGGTTGGGGGGCACTTAACAATCTTAACATATCTTAAATTATGGGGACGGGATTGCTAACCAATATCTTGCGATTTAAATGGGAATATGTTGACCAAACCAGCTTTATAGATGATGTTCCCATTCAAACCTCAATGTTTAAGGGATTTTCCATTGCCACGTTTGGTTACCAGAGTAACCTGTCCATTCGAAGACTTGGAGAATGTTCACCGCCAAGAATTTGGTTTTTTGGGATGTATTTGAGATGACTGACAACCGGACTTAGACTGGTGCCTCGGTCCAGTGATTGGAGTAACGATCGAAAGTGGTCCGTCTTAGTATGCAAGTCTCTACTTTGCGGCAGCGGTAACTTTAAGTCGTACCCATATTTTGATCAATATGAAGAAGTGCCAGAAGGGGCTCCAACCCTTGGATATTGGATCCATGCTGGGGATAGGCAAGCTCCCTCATCAAAGGCACCCTGGCAGTTGCACCCCACTCTGAAAGTTAACCGGGAATATTGCCAGGTATATGACTTGCCTAGCAAGTGACTTGTAGGACAGGATTTGTCATAGAGAGAAACACAGGATCTAGTCTAGATCATCTAGATATGATTGTGATATAATACATATATATATATAATTATTTAATTACGTGTATATATATACATACATATTCATTTATTTATCTATGTAATTATTTATGTTTATATTTATATCTATAGGTTGCAGGAACCATTTGTGTCATCTCATTGCATAGCAACGTATTATATACACCTATAGACCATCAAAAACCAAGATGTTTGTGTCTATATTGATACAGCTTTGCAGTAACATATGTCAGATTAGTGCATTTATCAAGAAAACATGTTTGTGTTTTTATGTTCTGTGTTGTTTCCATTGTTCTTTCAATTGTACACTCTAGTAGTTTAACATAGCTGCAGAAAATCATAAGTCTTAATCTGTAAAATGTAGAACCTATATAAATGGGTCGTTTCCATAGCATTGCCAAAAGGGTAAGTCACATTATATCCCATAGACAAAGAGAAAGCAGACAAGAGGGAACGAACCCCTCCACGATCCAGAAAGGGCAAGCTCACGGAGAAAGAAGAGCACTTGCTTGATGCAATTGCCAAAGGCTATGAGATGACTAAGCAGTGCGTTTTGGTTGTGAAAGATCACTCAGAAGCAATCAAAAGCGGTCAGAGCGATTTGAAACAGGTTGGAGAAGAAATCCAGTCGAACTGGTGCGAGATTCTCCTGGCACAGCTGGGCGACCAAAGCAAAACGCTGGGCAATATCTCGTGGACGCTCAACGGCAGCCGCGCTGAGGCAAACACCAGCCGCAGAAGACTTCCACCATGTCCAAGTTCCAATTGGGAACACCACAAGGAGATCATCAATGGCTTCAAGGAGCTTGCTATAATTATATATATATACCATGATATTGAATTTCCTAGAAATCATTGTATCAGTAAATGTTTCATTATTTCTTGTTCCAAGGCACCAGGTGACCCGGGCGGACTTGAACATTCCCTCAATGCAAAGCTCCGCAAAGCGATAGGCAGATGGATCCGGATGTCAGGCTCCTTGTTCCTTGGCCCCTGATGGGTTCGGGCCGCTTCGGGGGTTCGGTTCTTCGTCCCATTTTGATTGCACTTATGGCCGTAAAAACCAGGGCCTTCACTGGGATGAAATAGCTCCTGCAACTAGTTGGTGAAATTAGCCAGTTATCCCTGTTAAGGGCTATAACTGTTAGTTTCTGTTTTGGAAATCACTTATTTAGTTCGATGATTTTCCCAGCTAGAAACCTCCATTTACGGGGGATGTCCTGTTGTTGCGTTTGAAAACAAGTTCCAGCTTCATCCCAATTGTTTGGTGGTGAAATCTCATCGTTTCATTTGCTAAACATCCTATTTTCAATGGATCTCCCATGTGTTAAGACACAAGATGGTGCCTACTTAGCTAAGTTGACTTAACTTATAACATCTTATAACTTGCTTTACTAGTTTACTATGGTAGATAGATACAATCTCGGCCTAAGCTGGGGCTATTTGTTCATGGCTCACCATGGCAGCGACCCAGGCACCTCGGGCAGTTCCCTATCGGTGACCTTCGGCGGTGCCAGCCATACCGTCACCTGGAGAACAGACGCTTTCGGACGGTTTTTGGCAGACGGTTTGAAACGTAAAACAAACATAAATCACTGCAGCTATGGCCATTTACCAGTTATAAGTACATATAACCCCATTTATACAATATATAATCCCATTTATAACCAGTTATAATTGATAAATGGCCATAACTGCATAAATCACTGGTGACATAAGTTGATAGGGCCTAGTTAACCAAGTTATAAGTCAACTTAGCTAAGTATGGGGCACCACGGCACCACCTTGTATTATTCTGGGTAAATTATAACGACCTCACTGCAACCGAACCCTGGATTAAAGGGGTATTCATCCCAAAATAGCTTTATTTCAGATTAGTGCATTATTATAATTTACATTATATGGAGGTTTCCGTAAATGGGGGTACCCCAATAGCTGGATGGTTTATAAGGGAACATCCTACTATAAAGTGGATGATTTGGGGGTACCCCTATGTTCGGAAACCACCAAATATGCCTTGTAAAATGGCTATGATATTTTTTTGGCTCCCATAATGATGTTAATCTCAATGATACAATGAAACACATCGTTAGAAACATGTTACAGCTACGGCCCTTAACAGTTTTAAATTTTATCAAATGGGATGCAATGACTCCTGCAACTAAGGTGAGACTTATCACTTAAATGAGGTTTTCTTAACCACTTACAACTGTGAAGGGCTATAACTGTGAGTTTCTGTTTTGGAAATCACTTATTTAGTTATTCACTATCCAATGAATTGGGGTACCCAATTCCGACCCACCCCCAAAAAAGTGATATAATGGATATTGTTTGAAGAGTGATTATTGATTGATTGTTGATTTTGTGAATATACGGATTCAATGGGGATTGTTACAACCCACAATAGGAATCCTTCTGAGCCAACCAGTATTTGATTTGATGGAAAAGGGATATTTGTCATGGTTCATTTAAGGAGGTCTTTATATTTCCATACTAAGGCTACATAATATGTATCCTTGGTGGTTCATCCTAGATAGTAAGTGGTTACCATCCCTCTTACACTTACACCTGAGGTTGTAACCTATGGTCAAAAGCTACAAGGTGGTGTCCCAGATCGTTAGCTAAGTTGGTGCAAATAAGTCCAATATGTAGGGTTGATTAGGGGGTTATATCGAACTAGTTTTCATGGGGATTATAAACCAAGAAACAGAACTAGGGGGGTTCCACCTTGTAGATTGTATACCCAGTTCGTGGGCGATTCTCATGGCATGGGATGACCTTCCATGTAACTTGACCATGGCAGATATTGTAATTTAGCACCATATTTGACCACTGATTCGTCATGAGGATATAAATTGGGCTTGCGGGGGTCCTAAAATTGGGGTAGCCCCAGATCATCCAAGTCATTGAACCTTTTTAGTATTGACACCTATGGTTTTGGGGATCCTCCATTTTAAGAACCCCAAAAAAATATCACCAATTCACCCCAAGTTGGCTTACTTCGTTGGTTTATAATTTTTACTTCGTTGGTTATACCCTATCTATAAGTAGGTCATGACATGTTACAACCCCATAGTTGGCTAGGGGACATGTTACAACCCCATAGTTGGCCAGGGGTACTGGATTTTGATCCATCCCCACATGTTTTTCGGCCGAGGTGACCCTGACCAGTCAGATCACCAGCGGCACTACGGGCACCGAGAGTGGCGACCCCAGGTTTTTTTTTTAAAGTAAAACCATGACACAATGATGGATTTTCCTCGGGAACAATTTAGTTTTTAGTTTTTTAGCCTAGGAAAAGCATGGAAACATGGAAGTTTCACCAAGAAAAACAGTTATGCATATTTGTTCTTTAATGGTAGGAACCAGCAGCACCCCCGCCCCAACCCTTGCAAAGAACACCGCTGACTGCTGCGGATAACACCAACCGTTGAAGAAAACACCGCGGCAGCAGCAGCAGCAACCCCGCCAGCCCATGCAAAAAACACCTCCCCATGCAACAGCTGCAAAAAACATGGTTACCCAAGCAAAACACACATAGACCGCTGGTAGATGTACTCCCAATCCATGGCCATTGAATGGGAACATCATCTATAAACATATAGTGAGTGGGTGAAATCATAGGAATACAATAAACCAAGGGTTAGTTTACCAAAAAAAGGTAGCTATAGTGAAACTATAGTTCTACATATATTTATTGATGTATCAATGGTTAACTATCTTTATATAACCAAATAGTTAACAATTTTTCTACATCAATAAATATATATAGTTCTATTTAATATATAGAACTATTGATGTATCAATGGTGAACTATATTTATATAACCATGGTGAGTTCTATAGTTCTATATTAATTTTCCAGTGGCTAAACTCACCGTATCGGATCAGCATGAAGGTTGCAACTCGGTGGACAATGGCTTCAATGGAGACCTGGCCTGGGAACCTGGGAACCTGGGAAATCGGAGCTGAAAAACATGGGGTTTTGGTGGTACTGGGGCCAGTTACTTTAACTGGTAAACATACAAAAAGCATCAAAAGCGAACTGGAAAATCACAATCTTTAAGAGGTGAATTAATGAACTAAATGGGACATGCTCAATAGCTATGTAACAAATTACCAGAGGGTATGTTTGTAGGTGTTGAAAATCGCATCCAACTGTAGATATGCCTATCACAATCCCTAGTTCAACTGTTTATGAAGCAACTTACTGATCCACCGAGTATTGAATTTAGTCGTGTTTTCTTTCGTATATCAAATCCTGACGCATGGCATGTTCAAAGGAGAGAGAGAGAGAGAGAGACCAATTGAAATGGAGATATCATGATCTAGTTATCTTTGATAGACTAGATCGATCATGATAACCAATGGCTATATCTGATTGGAGATCCTTTTTCATCACCAAGAATGATAACCAATGGGAAATTGACGGAATCTGGGGAGAATCTGGCCAGTTTGGTCCCTGCTCCAATCAGATTGGCCACCGAGAAACATGACGGAGGTACCGATTCCATATATGTTTGGCCTATGTTTCAGGTTTATGTATATGGGGATATCCCCACAATTCATATGGCCAAAAATCTGGTACAGATGTACAGTACCTCCATCTGTTGGATCCTGGAGATCTCCCATTGATTCAAGTGTGTTACCCTTTGGTTATTGAACATAATAACACCACTATATGGAGAATCATAATTTTCAATCGGACAAAATGGGCCATATATACGACAGCTAAGTCTTTTCCACGAGCCACATATGTTTGGTTCAGTAACACTTTGGTTACTGCTCGCGGATGTCCCATTTAACAGAACTATAGACAATCATTTTGTTCACCACCTAAAGAATCATAAACAATAATAGATAGATATATGTATATATTTATATATATTGAATATTGTATTATATATATATATATTATATTATGTCATGTATTATACATTTAAATGGTGCATTTTCCATAGCTATTTTCGTTTTTCTGAAGGGTACATCCCCAAAACAGATCAGCGCAGGTGCTCTCCTGTTCTGATGGCGCTGCATCTATGGCTTCCAACACCTGTGCCCTCGGAGATGGAACAAACACTGCGGCATCATGGGGTCTTTCAAGATGTGTTTCCAAATGTTGTGGCACTTGCAGGTCCCCATGATGCATGAGAGGTCAGTTTTGGTTTCATGAATGTTGTTGTACATAAATGTGTTTTTTCTAATGTGTTTTCCTGAGTTTCTCGAAGTGAACACGGAAACCTAAGAGGCCAGGCCTGTCCATGCCTGTCCCATGTTTGGGATGGTCAGAAACGCCGGAATCATTGGATTTTCATGGATTTTCTGTCAGATCTCGTAAAGCTAAAATCGTATGCCTGAGAAGATAAAACCGTTCTAGAGCAATTCTGATTTTCTAAAAAATATCATGACTTTTAAGATCATTGAGATTCTTTTAAGATGCACCTGACTAAAATAAGACAAAGAAGAATGCTGCAGAGCTCCATCCAAACCACAAAGCCACACGAGGTACTGAGAGACCATGTGCACAGGACGGCTTGCGGCAGAAAGATGGCTGGTTTCACCAAACAGGGGAGGTCATAAGTGGATATGACACCAAAAATTACGGGGTTTTCATGTGGATATATATATATATACTGTACATGTATAATGAATATATATATATATAATGACATATATATATACACATATATTGTGATTTGGATATATATGTAATGACATTTAAATATAATGCTATATATATAATGACATATATATATAATGACATATATATATATATTGACACACACACACATATATATATATATAATGACATATATATATAATGACATATATATATATGATGACATATGTATTTATAATGACACATATATATATATACGCGCAACGCCTGGGCTTTGCCCAGGCGTTGCATCGTAGAGGTTTCCCATTCCGAAACAAATGTTGATGCAATTTCACAAAATTCCTATGGGAAAAACAACAAAGGTACTAGGGAATACTAAACTCCCACCCCCGTTAAACCTTCAATTCCTATGAGAAAAACAGCAAGGGTACTGGGGAATATTAGACCCCCACCCCCGTTAAACTTTACATTCAATTGGGAAGATCAACAAAGGTACTAGGGAATATTAAACTCCCACCCCCGTTAAACCTTAAGATTCCTATGGGAAAAACAACAAAGGTACTAGGGAACATTAAACTCCCACCACCGTTAAACTTTACATTCAATTGGGAAGATCAACAAAGATACTAGGTAATATTAAACTCCCACCCCCGTTAAACTTTACATTCAATCTTCAATAAGGGTTTAAGTCTCCCATCCCTGTTAAACTTCTACATTCATTGAAGATTTTCAATAAGGGTTTAATTCTCACCCCAGTCAAACTTCTTCATTCTTCAATAAGGGTTTAATTCTCCCACCCCCGATAAACTTCTACATTCATGGAAGATCTTCAATAAGGGTTTAATTCTCCCACCCCCGTTAAACTTCTACATTCATTGAAGATCTTCAATAAGGGTTTAATTCTAATGATGATGATGATGATGATGATGATGATGATGCGTCGCCTGTCGTCATTGTGGGTCCGGGCAAAGCCGATGCATTTGCCGTATATATATATATAATCACTTATATATATATATTATTATATATACATACATAACGATGTATATATATAATAATATATACATATATAATGACATATACATATATAATGACATATGTATATAATGGCTTATATATGTATATAATGACATATTATATATATATTATATATATAGAATGATATATATATATATAATGGTATATAGATAATGATATATATATATATATTTAATGATATATATATAATGATATATATATATATATAAATAATGATGTATATTTATGTATGATGACATATATATAAATAATGATATTTACATAATGGTATATTTAAATTTAATGATTTATATATTTGTGCTCTATATATTTAATGGCATACATATATATATAATGACAACAAAAATGATAATTATATATATATAATGATCTATATTTATAATTAAATATATATATTTAATGATATATATATATAATGTTTTTTTCGTTTATATACAATGGCATACGTGTTTTTTATATATATAATGATATTCTGTAATTATATATATTTATATAATGATATTCTGTAATTATATATATATATAATACTGATATATATATATATATTTATTTATATACACAATGACATATATATATAGAATGATATATATATATATATCATGATTTACATATAAATGATGATGTTCATGTATAATGATATATATATATATGTAGAATGGTATTTATATATATATATGTATAATTATATATATAATGATATATTATATATATAATTATATATATATCAATATAATGGGGATATGATGGGGATACATCTATGGATTTTAACCATAAACAATAGGGAGTTCATGGTGGTGTCCCTGATCCGATTCGCTAAGTTGGAATGCCAATTTCACGTTTGGGTTGATGGTAGAGATATCAAACTAGCTACAAGGGGGCAACATCAACCAAGAAACATCACTGGGGGCATGATATACATCCCATTTGAGTATATATCCACCATACATGTATATATATATATATTTATTTACCCGGTGGTAAACTAACATAGCTATGGGAAATCACCATATTTAAGTTCGATAAATCGACGAACTACAACTGTGTCATTTTCAATAGTAAACTGTAACAAATTACCAGAGGGTATATCGATCAATTATATATCCCCACTATATATCCTTACTATCCACTAGTATTTGAGTATATTTATATATATATAGATATATAAATATATGTAAATTTAATATATCCCGTATGCTCCATAGTGCTGGAATATGCACACCTACATGACTGTGCCAAAAAAAAAGTGCTGGAGCACCACGGCTATCACATCTGGGTATAGCCCCACGGCTTGGCCAGGACTTGGGCTATGCGTTGAGCCTGGGCGGTGAGACAGCCACCAACAACCTTGCCTCGCAGGTTCCGCAACCGGCCATGCGGAATGGCCCAAGAAGCGGGAATCCTATGTGGGTCAGGTGGTTTGGATGGATATGTATATATATATAATATCACATGAGATACATGATGTTACAATATTTGCATATATACAATGATTATACCATATTTATATACATAATAGCTAGAACCCCTCACCCCCCAGTCAGTTCATATTATCCACCCTCACACATCACACACATAAATTTCAGAACAACATCACACATACATCATCACAACATTTCACAACACATTTTTCACATAATATTTTCACAAAAATCATCACATTTTTTCTAGCAGTATATCATTCAGAACAGCAAACACAAACACAACATTTCATCACATAATTTTCATCACAACATCACACATACATCATAACACAATTTTCACATTAATATCACATATAAACATACACATATAACACAACATAAGTAAGAAGTAAATAGAACAGAATAACAAAAGTTTTATAGTAAAAAAAAATAATTTATGGGGTTATTTTTTATAATAAGATATTATAAAGCTAGGGGGTAATATCTATGTAAAGTTGTTCATAAGTCATCGGTGTGTATGAGGATTTTTTCATCAAAGGAGAGGACCATTTCCAGTGGGTCAATGTATATAGCATTTTGGTGATGTCTTATCACAAGGAGGCAAAGTGGTGATAGGGTATGAGGACTTAATCATCATAGGGTATGAGGATTTAATCATCATAGGGTATGAGGACTTAATCATCACAGGGTATGAGGACTTAATCATCATAGGGTATGAACCAACCTGCAGACCTTTGTAAGTCCAACCCCGGCTTTACCAAATTCAGCCTTGAATTTGACAGGAACCAAAATCAACCTTCCCAAATTCAGCCTTGAATTTGACAGCAAACCAAATTCAGCCTTGAATTTCTCAAATTCAGCCTTGAATTTACCAAAACCACACCTTGAATTTGCTCAAATTCAGCCTTGAACTCACCAAAATCAGACCCCAACTTTGCCAAAATCAGACCTTGACTTTGCCCAAAATCAAAATCAGGCACCAACTTTACCAAATTGGCGCACCAAAGGCACCAAGTGCATGTCAAGCCATGGATGGCGCTGGTCGCTGTCTTCATTTTGGTGAAGTTGATGGGAGCCTTTGTGCCATTGTTAGTTGCAGGTTGGCGATGGAAATGCATTTTCAAGACACGGTTGCATTTATTATATATTAATATACGGTCATAATATATATATATATATATATATATATATATGGCACCTTTGTTTGGTGTGTTTTGAATGCATTCATGTTAAGTGCGTAATTTGTTTTTGTATGTTTTTGTTTCATTCGCAGGTGGCATCAGCGAGATTGCGGGGCATTGAGCGTCCTCAATTTATTGGGTCTAGCATTGAAACTTTGCTGTTTGGCACTTTTTTCTACTTGGTCACACAGAGAAAGAATCTGAAAGGCATTTTTCCATTGTATATATATATATTTTTTGGATACATTGTATGATCTATTTTTTTACTCCTCAATTTTTGCCCTCGAGGTGATCAAGGATTTGCGCCCACGCTTGACCCAATCCAGAGCTTGGGATATAAAGGTCTGGCAAGTCATAGTGTCTGCTTCGAGTCTTGCTGTAGCAACACTACAGGCATGGCGGGCATTCAGGGACTCTCAGAGGGCATTCAGGGACTCTCAGATGGCATTCAAAGCCTCTACAGAGGGCAAAATCCAAGCAGCAGTGGCAAAGGCCATGGAGCCTTTTGAACCCACAAGGGCGCAAGATGAGGTCATCAAAAGGCCAGTGATGGACACCATCAAAAACCGCATCAAGAGCTGGCGAGAACATGCAACCATCATCGGGGGTCGCTACCTGTCAGGAAAGTCGGTGGCAGTCGAAGAAGCCTTGCGAGGAGTTCGAGGTGTTGTGCGATTCACCATCGAAAGCGCCGATTGGAAGAAGGTGATGTGCGAGCAAGAGAAACTGGATAATATAGGACTGTTCAAAGAGGTCATGAGCCGAGCGCGCGAAAAGCTCAAGGACTTTCCGGACAACCTCACCAAGTATCCCATTCTCCTCCTCGACATCCCTCGCACAACCACTGAAGGACTGAGTGGATTTGTTTGGTTTTGTTTTCTGTCGGTGGTGTAGTGCATTTTGCCATTCATGTTTTTTTTGTTTAAATGTTTTTGCCCGTTCCTCTTGGCAAGGAATTGACCTAATCTCCAGCACAGCGAAGGATATGGCGACAGACCAAATCGGAGCTGCCGTTCATGCACCCCAGCTTATAAATGATATTTTCAAATTGCTCAAACCTAAAAATGTTTTTCGGGAAGGATGAATGATGTCTATCCTTTTGTCCAAGGTGATTGTATCAGCCTCTTCGGCGGCAGTGGCGCTGGCTTTCGATGCTGGCGGAAGTGCAAGACAGGAAGACATTTGGGTTGCTGACTTGACAGAGGAGGAGGCAAAGGAGTTTTTGGCACTGCATGGGCACGAGAACAATTTTGAAGAGTTCGTGGATGCTTGTGTTTCAGCTCAATTCAACAACATGTTGATTAAGTTTTGTTTGGTGCTTTCAAGTTTTTTTTGCGGGGGACTTTGGCCAGTTCATTTCAGCTGGCTTGCGGATTGGCGACTTGGCGAAGGCCTGTGAGAAATTGAAGTGCCTAGCTTGAGCAGGTGAAGTTTTACTTTTTCGTTTTTTAAACCTCGTCGGGATATATGTTGTGTCTCGTGCAAGCTAAGGAAGGGAATATCGGGAATATCTTTGGACGACACACGGCAAGAGTATCTGCGAGTTGCTACTGCGGAAGTTGTCGGCTTCATGAAGTTGCAGGTTGATCCAGACCTCAACGGACGCCAGATGTTGCAAGAACTCCGCAAATTTCATCCTGAAGGCATCCCAGAGGTTTTCAATGGCATTCGCATCAGACCAAAGAAGGTTGCAGAGCAAATTCGTAATGAAGATGTTCACGCGGTGTATTTTCATCCTCTCAAGAAGCGCTGTTTTTTGCCTCCAAATTGCACAAGGAGGCCGCAGAAGCGCAACTCAAGCGTATGAACATGCGCATTTGAAAAAGGAAGACTTCAGCTTGTGCGCGGCACACTCAAACAAATTCAACAAAAATGTAGACCTGACAAAGACATTGGATATAGTAAGTTTATGGCTGAAGGAGACATATGCGAAACTTATAGAAAACCAGATTATGTATTAAAACTTATATGGCAAAAAACTTCATCAAACAAAGTCATACATTGTATCTTCAATCTGATATGAAAACCTATATAACCACTACTGTTGATATTAAGGAGAATTCTACACATATGCAATGGATGATTGTGTAAAAATTGAATGGCAAACAAACAATTACAACATTCAAGATGCTCTAAATGAACTTTACCAAGATGCTACTGACAAAATCAACTATATGTATGAGAATGAAATTATAAGTATTGAATGGATGCAATTCTGGATAGAAATTACTGTTGACCCTGATGAATATAAATAAATTTTAATCCCATAAATTTCATAATACTTGATTATGAAAATTATGTTGTTTTCTTTTCTATTTACTTCTTACTTATGTTGTGAATTTATGTGTGAAATGTGTATGAGTGTATGTGTGATGTTGTGATGAAAATTATGTGATGAAATGCTGTGTTTGTGTTTGCTGTTCTGAATGATATACTGCTAGAAAAATGTGATTATTTTTGTGAAAATATTATGTGAAAAAATGTTGTGATGATGTATGTGTGATGTTGTTCTGAAATTTATGTGTGTGATGTGTGGGGGTGGATAATATGAACTGGGGGGTGAGGGGTTCCAGCTATAATACATATGAACTGTTTCTGTAACGATGGTGATCATTGGTGTGTTTTTCAAGATTTGGGCGTCACAAATAGTGATAACATTGGGCAAATCTTGGTGGGTTTGTTGTCAGACCCTAAGGATGGGTTTAGTACGTTGATCTCTTTCTGTAAATGGTGATATCAATTGTAACATTTAGTAACTTTAGTACATTTTAGTACAATTCTGAGCAGAATTTCAAACATAAGATGTTTTTGGCCATCCAAGATTGGCACTGATGATGAACAATTTAAGTGTTTTTTTGATGATGCTGAGCATACAGCATACGCATACCGGCATTCTTCAATATCGTTGCGGCATTGAATTTTGCTGTTGTTGCAGTCGGCCGTGGCACTGGCCATGGTGCCCAGGACGTGTTACAAAAAAAGAAGGGGGCCAAGAGCAAGGCCAAAGCGCTGATCGCTAGGCATTAAAAGATCCGATGGAGAAAACTGGCGCAAACATGCGCAGGCACAGACCTATGCAATCCAGTGTTTGTATATTCAGGCAGTGTGGCAGGGAGTGGCTCAAGATGGCTGGTGCCGCTTTGGAAGAGCAGCCGGATGTTTGAGGATCAAGCTAGCACGACTAACCAATGGACCAATCCACCATCAGATCATCCAACTGTTTCAGATTTCCACTGGTTTCCATTGCATGATTTGCGGCTGGATGTGTCATGATGTTTCAGTGCATTTGGTGCCATCGATTTCGAAAACATTGCATCTCAGAGTTAACTTTACCAGTTGTTCCGCTAGACATGTTCAGTATTGTTCGATACAAATGTGTGGCATACCTATAATTATATACATATTAGTCAGTCATTAATAATGTATAATACATATCAATATGTGGTAATACCTTCTGTAGATAATGCACTTTCATATTTGTATGTGCATGTCTTGATTGTTTATACGTATCTGGATGTGTTTTTTTTTGTGTTTGAGTCCATGATAGCAAATCCAGTTGTACCTTCTTAGGAAGTACGACTGGGGTATGATGACTAGGGGGTATGATGTACCTTCTCAGACAGTGGATACGGATCCATAATCCAAGATATCACATTAGTTAATATCACATTAGTGAATATCACATTGGTTAATATCACATTAGTTAATATCCCATTGGTTATGTTTTTGGTTAGTCCATTTGTCTGATATTTCACCAATATATATATATATATATATCACCAATATCACCATGTAATCACCATGTGACTATCCAGTGGGTCAGGTGACTCACGCGGCAACCGTCACTGTGGGCTGTGGCACCGCAGGGGCCTCCGGGGAGGGTCGGGACGAGGGTCGGGACGACAGGTGAAGGATTATGTTGATTTATAACTCCAACAAATATGGTTTATAGGTGATATATCTATAGTTTCTATATTTAATTGGCTTATAACATCTTATAACCAATCCTATAGCTGATCTATGATGGCTAAGTTGATATTCGCAGGATCATCCCACCTACAAGTTGGTGCCGCTCAGTGATGTGAACGTTGGTTTATAAATCATAGTAAGTAGTTCGATACAACTCCCATAAACCAGAGTGAAATTGGACTTATGTGCACCAACTTAGCGTTCACGAACTGGGGCACCACCTTGTATGGTTTATAGGTGATCTATCTAATCTATCTATATAGTTAATGGGCTTAAAACCAATCCATGACGGGGGTTGGCATCTTGTGGTTACCAACGGAGGAGAGACGGTCAGCTGCTTGGATTCTGTTGGTGACAGCCCTTTGTTCCTAGTGAACTCGCTAGTGAACTCGCCAGGAGATAGCACGGTGCTTTTTTTAGATCTTTAAAAGCCATAGACAATGAACTTCTCTACCTCGGGATATTCCATTAATGTACTTGGGATATTTCATGTGATCACATGTTACCCACTTACAATTCCTGGGATGCACCCCGAGTAGTTGACTGGTTTTACCCTGCTTAGTTAGTTCCCGAAGTGGATTATCCCTTGTGTCAATGGGTTATAACTTATAGCATGCTTGGTAAGTTACCCTCTGGTAAACGTTTACATAGCGAACTGGAACATCACCATTTGGAAGTTCGGCAAAAATCAACTGTTTCTATGAGCTATGGTTATTCCCATCGCTATACCACAGTTATAGAAACCCTAGAAATAACGATAGTTATAGTCCACTACCATTTTCAATGGGTAAATCCACTATAAATTATCATTTTCTATGTCGCAAACTGTTGACATACCCAGATACCCTGATATCTGGACTAAGCAACTTACGACCCACGGGGCCCACGGGGCCCACGGGGCCCACCGGGGCCACCGGGGCCACCGACGTGGGATCACATGGCGCAGCCCAGGTGGCGAGCGGTTGGGGCGGTGACATCACTGCCACTTGGAGCGGTGTCACATACCCTCTGGTAATTTGTTACATAGCTATTGAAAATGGCCCATTTATAGTTGATTTTCCTATTTAAAATTGTGATTTTCCATAGTTATGCTGGTTTACCTGGTAATGACTAACAGTTTGCTGTTGAAAATTGTCCATTTATAGTTGATTTCCCCATTAAAAATTGTGATTTTCCATAGTTATGTTGGTTTACCTGGTAATGACTAACAGTTTGCTATTGAAAATTGTCCATTTATAGTTGATTTCCCCATTAAAAATTGTGATTTTCCATAGTTATGTTGGTTTACCTGGTAATGACTACCAGTTTGCTATTGAAAATGGCCCATTTATAGTTGAATTTCCCATTTAAAATTGTGATTTTCCATAGTTGTGTTGGTTTACCTGGTAATGACTAACAGTTTGCTATTGAAAATGGCCCATTTATAGTTGATTTTCCCATAAAAAATTGTGATTTTCCATAGTTATGTTGGTTTACCTGGTAATGACTAACAGTTTGCTATTGAAAATGGTTTTCCCATTAAAAATTGTGATATTCCATAGTTATGTTGGTTTACCTGGTAATGACTACCAGTTTGCTATTGAAAATGGCCCATTTATAGTTGATTTTCCCATTTAAAATTGTGATTTTCCATAGTTGTGTTGGTTTACCTGGTAATGACTAACAGTTTGCTATTGAAAATGGCCCATTTATAGTTGATTTTCCCATAAAAAATTGTGATTTTCCATAGTTATGTTGGTTTACCTGGTAATGACTAACAGTTTGCTATTGAAAATTGCCCATTTATAGTTGATTTCCCCATTAAAAATTGTGATTTTCCATAGTTATGTTGGTTTACCTGGTAATGACTACCAGTTTGCTATTGAAAATTGCCCATTTATAGTTAATTTTCCAATTTAAAATTGTGATTTTCCATAGTTGTGTTGGTTTACCTGGTAATGACTAACAGTTTGCTATTGAAAATGGCCAATTTATAGTTGATTTTCCCATAAAAAATTGTGATTTTCCATAGTTATGTTGGTTTACCTGGTAATGACTAACAGTTTGCTATTGAAAATTGTCCATTTATAGTTGATTTCCCCATTAAAAATTGTGATTTTCCATAGTTATGTTGGTTTACCTGGTGATGACTAACAGTTTGCTATTGAAAATGGCCAATTTATAGTTGATTTTCCAATTAAAAATTATGATTTTCCATAGTTATGTTGGTTTACCTGGTAATGACTAACAGTTTGCTATTGAAAATGGTTTTCCCATTAAAAATTGTGATATTCCATAGTTATGTTGGTTTACCTGGTAATGACTAACAGTTTGCTATTGAAAATGGCCCAATTTATAGTTGATTTTCCCATCAAAAATTGTGATTTTCTATAGTTATGTTGAATTTCCAGAGGGTAAATGTTTTTTGTTCAAAACTTTTTGGGACGACATTGAAAAAAAATTGACACCACCAACCAGCTATAACCATTGTTTGGATTAAGCAAGATACTGGAAAATCTGTTGGGAAGATCAGAAGAGACATCTAAATAGAGTTTCCATTGCCAGGGATTACCGCAGGGTATCATTTTTGGAATCTCCATAAATCTCATTAATATAACTGCTTGGTGGTTTGGAACATGGCTTTTATTTTTCCCATCATATTGGGAATTTCATTTCATCCCAACTGACGAACTCCATCATTTTTCAGAGGGGTAGGGCTCAACCACCAACCAGATAATATTCACCATTATATACCCCCTACTATTATTATACAATCATTATTGAGCAATATTACCATTATATCCGCTACTATATCACATTAACCAATGTTTTTGCCCGAAATGACTAGAGCACTACGTTCGAGCTCATGGACCCATGGGTGCCCACGTTCTTAACGAAGGGTTAGTTCCAGGCCAGTGTCTAACGTTGACAGGTGTGTATTCACATGGCTATGGAAAATGTGTTATTTATAGATGATTTAATGCGGATTTTCCATGATGACTTACCTATCAATGGGTCATTTATAGATGATTTACACTCCGGTAAACGTTTATAGAAAACTATGGAAAGATCCACCATGCTATTAATGGGAAAACTCACTATTTCTATGGTCACTTTCAATAGCTATGTAAACGTTTAACAGAGGGTAACAAACATAACCATGACTGTAAACAGTTGGGATAAACAAGACACGTCTTTATCCAACAATGTTGTGATAGCGTGGAATGACGACTGTTTATTTGCTGCACACAAAACATCACACCAGGTCAGCTATATAATCACTATTGGAGTCTTCTATTTAAGGACGTATCCTTGCCGGCGCACCAAATGCAAGGCGCATCCTCAAATGCACCACTGGGAGTCTCATCAAATAGGGCTCCGGACTCCAGTACACTTTCTATGGCTGGTTTTGCACAAACATTATATACTTTGGTTATGAACTGGGCTGCTTCATTGTGCATGCTGATAGGGAACAAAAATAAACTAGTGTGTGTGCGCGTGCGTTTTTTTTCATGTTACTTTTCTATGACTGTTGTGAGATCAGTATTGTATATAGATATGATAATATCACAAATAGGAATAGATAAAGAACACACATATATATATATATACATATATATATACATATGTATATATACATACATATATATATATACATATATATATGATATATATATATATATGATATATATATATATACATATATATAGTATATTTGCCCCACCCACTGTTTTTAAACAGACTGCGGAAGTTCACTTTTTTGCGGCTGATTCGGAGGTCACCTGCATCAAGGGATCTGCGATCCCTGACTATTCCGCATGCCTCTCCCCATGTCTCCTGGCGGAACAAACGGTTGAAGTTTGGCAGAGGGATGACCAATCCTATCATGTAGCCTCTGGTAAACGTTTACTGTACAGAGAACGAACTGGAAAGATCCACCATGCTATTTTCGACTAGGTAAATCAACTATTTCTATGGAAAACCATGGAAAATCACCATGCTATTAATAGGTAAATCAACTTCTTCGACTGGGCCATTTTCAATAGCTATGTAAACGTTTACCAGGTATCTATATAGGGTAAAGCACGACAGTTATACTAGATTTGTTTTTGAAAAGTGATGTCCGAGCAACGCCCTCACAACCTTTCAGATGTCTGAGATTCACGAGTAGTGTGCTTCGTGGGTTTTTAACGAGGTCATCCTCGTTGCACAGATACTTTCAGCGATTTGAACAGTTGGACTTGCGTTCTGGGAACTTCCGGGAAACAGACATGTCATTCATGTTCAAGTGTTGTGTGCAAGATGTTTGTAGGGGTTCTTCATGCTGAAACTCTACATTCTTTGCAGGATGGGGCCCCAAAGATAGCGTTCAGTTGTCTTGTAAGTGGCTGAAATCTATGGTTTATGGTAGATATAACTATAGTTAATGGGGGTTATAACGGTTTATAAACTTATAACTGGGGGGCCCCATTCTCTGTTGATTCAGTTGTTTATTCTTGCAGGAATTTATTTCCCACAAAAAATCACCCATGGTGTATCATTGCTGGATCATCCCACTGTTTGCTAAAACTCATCCACACAATTGTACATGGTGAACATCGTGAAACGTGGTGAACATCATAGTATAGCCCAGCAATTTGAGTTGGTGTAAAACATGGTAAAGCCACCAATATAAGTCAGAAAAATCACCATTGAACATCATTTAAGGTGCTGTGATAATAGGTGGTTTTTCTGTCAACATTCTGTGGATCAAAACTCAATCCTTTCGCATCTGGTAACATGTTCTGATTTGTTTGAAAACATGTTGATCAACTAATATGAAAGTAATGGTGATCTAATAATATTGATGAATATGGATGTTCTGATATTGTTAGATCACCATTACTTTCATATTAGTTGCTACACATAGTTCACCTTGAGGGTTTTCTTGAATCCCAAATTATCCATGTTTTCGTCAAGCAAATCCTGCTGGTTTGATCATTTTGTAGGTAGGTAGCTCATCATATCCCAAAAATGTGCGTATGTGTATGCTATGTATGTATATATGTGTATATGCATAGATTATGCATATTATATATATATATATGTGATTATATATGCATATATATATACATACACATCAACATATCCTTAGATATCCCAAGCATCCATCCAGAGTTTTCTTGATCAAACTTTCCCATTGGTCGCATCAGCAGGAAGAGCTCGCTGTCCTGAGTTGGTTTATAACCCAATCCAAATTCAGATATATCCCCTATAAATCAAATGTGACTAGCTGGAAAATGCCCTATATGGAGATTTATATCTGGGAACATCATCTACAAAATTATCTACGGCTGTTTACCGGATGGTATATCCACCATAAATCCATGTTTGTTGTCTAGATTTGCCTAGGTAATTCAGCCCACATACCCATCATAAATCATCCATGATTTTTCCCTTTTTCTTGCAGACATCCCATTAATCTGTTGGTTGGATGCCCAGGTAGTGTTCAAACCGCTTACATCACCTTTTTGTGGATTGAATCGCAATTTACCATCACGTTGTTGTAACAATCCCGTTAGACCCTAAGTGTATCCCATTGATTTACCCCATTGCATCATTTGAGCAGTGTTCGAAACCCCGGTTGGTTGATGATTATATTTGCACATATTTACATGTATACTGTATGCTATGCTGTATCTGCTGTATATGTTGTAAATGTTGTTCATGCAATATACACTATATTTGCTGTATATATATATATACACCATTTATTGATATCCCATCTCTTAGCATCTCTTAACCCCATTGCATCATCGCCAGGTGTGCTTGGCACCACCACCTCCCTGGTGTTGGGCGTGGACAGCGAAAGCTTCAGCGTCAGCAGCACGGCGGTGATCGCTCACGGCGCCACGGGCACTGAAAGCGGGGGAAGCCCAGGGTGGCCCAGGGGGGCCCAGGGCCCAGGGGGACCAAGCCATGGAGAAAGTGGATAAAGGATGAAATTACATTATGGATTACCATCTGGTTATTTAACATAGCCATGGAAAATCACAATGTTTAATAGGTAAACCATCTATAAATGGGTTATTTTCCATGGCTATGTTAAATAACCAGACGGTATGATATGTGGTAGAAAACCAGAAAACCAGAATTGGCTTATAGACATTTATTGATTAGATTGGATATGTAAAGGTTTGATGGGTTTAGAGTGCGTTTAGAGCGGGTTTATGTCCTCATAGAACCTGTAATTGGGTATGTACCCCTAAATAGTGCGCCAGTTTCCAAGTGGATGCGGATAGAAACTCTAAATGGGTATGGGAGCTGGTTTCTGCACTGAAAAACATTGTTGTTATGTTTTTATTTTTTAATAAATAGCTATATATATATATAAACAAATACAAACACGCCGATCTTGGCCCATTCCCAATTCCCAGACTTGGTCGAAGCCAAAATCCCTATAGTTGGGTAAAAACCATTGTTTCCGGTGAAGATTTTCCCTGAAGCCAACCCATTGACATCATCCCGTCCCCATTTTAGATAGTTCAATCATAGTTAAATCCCAATTGTTCTCAGTTAGATCATCATTTTCATTGGTAAAATCCCATTGTTTGTTCGTTAGATCCCAATTTTCGTTGGTGAAATCACATTTTTTTCGGAGAACTCCCAATGTCTTGATCAGAGTCTTAGGTTGCGCCATCGCTCATCAGGGCTTCGAAGGTAACATCGCCCCTCGGATGTGGAGAATGGGTGGCTTCAAGCAGAAAGAAGAATGATTTTAAGTCGTTTCATGAACATGACAAGAATATACAAATAATATCAAATAATATTATATAATATTTTATATATATATACAATGTTTGATCTACTTCAGGATGTATAATATACTCTATATATATACATATTATTCCATATTTGAATGTCATAAGATGTTCTTAAATGGCCATAGATTGTTTTTTTTGGCCACCAAAAAGGACAACGACAAAATCCTACTAAAGATAGTGATGTTGTTTTTCCATCTTGAGACTTACTTTCCATCCCCGATGTCTGGGCAAAATCCCTGAGGTCTTGTCCTGCGATGCGGGCACACTTTCCATGGACTCCAACACATGTGTTGAAAAGCCATGCCTTCAGGTGCGATGTGGGAGACCCTGTGGTTCAACTGGGGCGTCGGTGACGATTCGTTTTCTGTTCTGAAAGGATTCCTAACAGTTGTTGACGTGTCTTGTGGTCTCCAACGAGGATGAAATGCGTTCTGGTGGGGTTAGCTTTATGGATTGATTTGGGTCATCCAAAGGTTGTCAAGGTGAAGCCTCCTGAAAAGATGATTAGACTATATATGACTATATTCGACTGCTTCCTCCTGTAAATTAATATAAAGATAAAAAATAATAATGAAGGAAAAACACAGAAAGCACATGGTTTCCTCATAGACATGATCTACAAACGGTGGCTTTTCTTGTTCTGAATTTACCCTTCTCGCCACTCATCGCTGTCCATTTGAACTACACGAACACAAACAATGGCGTTTTCGATGATGAGTTTCCCAGGGGGAATCCTGTGGAATCCCTTGCTGGCTTGGCTTCAAGATCCAGCCGGCCGCTTCTGTCTGCGGCAAAACCTCTGGTAATTTAACATAGCTATTGAATATGGCCATTTATAGTGAGTTTTCCCATTAAACATGGTGATTTTCCATAGTTATGTTAGTTTACCAGAGGGTATCTTATGGATTCTGATTCTTATGGTTTATTTCTCTTTGCCATAAGAAACCATGGAATCAAGCAAACAGATCCAAAGAGCAAGCGGTTTCTTTCGGGGAAGACGGTAACAAACAAAGCGTAACTTGCGTATCCTGCTGGATGCTCAGGTGCATCTCTATTGCGTACAACAATTAAACAAAATTAAATAATTACTCACTTCTACTTCTACATATGAATCAATTTGATGATTTAGGGTCTATGAGTCTAAGCCGTCTATTTATTTTTGATCTATGTTTGTTTAAGGAATGGCCCATTCCCGTAGCCCTGTTTAGGGTTCCAACCGGTGCCCGGTGCACAGAACCTGTCCTACTCGGTGACCTTGGGACAATTCAGCAAGACTCTTCAACTGGACTCGCAGGCGGATGGGGTCCTGGAGAGGTTTCCTCAAATGGAAATCGAAGTGTCAAATCACGAGAGGGTAATCAGATGGAGGTTTCCATCCAAAATCATGTGGTACCGTGGTACCCCAAGCTCGCTGGATGGTTCATGAATCATGGAACATCATATTGAAATGGATGAGAACTGGGGCTACCCCTCAGACAAGCTCCATGTCATGTTTTTTGTGATATTCCCAAGATTTTGATATCCTGGTGAAAAAAGTGAGAGCCAACTTCGGAAGTTTTTTTAGGAACCCCATGGTGAGTGAAAAAACCCTTTAGAGATACAGGATGGGGCCCCCAAGATAGCTAAGTCGCCTTGTAAGTGGCTTAACTATGGTTTATGGTAGATATAACTATAGTATCATGGTGGTTATTTCATGGTTTATAAACCAACAAACATCACTGGGGGGGGCCATCCTGTAGGGTTATTGGATTCTCTGATATCAACCAGGCCTAGCTGCATAGTTTGGCCATGGCTTCATATCCCTATAAACCTTCGGTTTATTAACATTTTTTGCGCACGGCTTAACATGACCTGATAATTGATGGTCAGTTCCACATTTTACATACATATATATATATATGTAATTATATATATATACTGTATATATATATACACATACTGTATGTATATATATATATACAGATATACATATTATTTAATGTCTGATGTTGGTTTCCCAGACTGGGCTACTTCTGTCCATTTGTAGTTCTGGGTCGATGTCTAGTGGAAAGACCCAATCCTATCGCGCTAAGGGGTCTGGGAGCCACTGCAAACATAATTGGCTTATTGAATTGGCGATTTATCGGCCTGCAACGCCATTGGTTGCCACATCTACACCTCGAGACGCACATGGTTATTCCCTGACCTCCTCGGTTGGTGGCTTGCACTGAGGCCCTCTCATGTGAATACACTTCTTGACTTACTCTGGTTGGTGGTTTGGATGGTTTTTATTTCATCCCTATATTGGGAATAATTTTCCCAACTGACTTTCATATTTTTCAGAGGCATTGAAACCACCAACCAGTACTTAGTTGATTATGTTGCAAGGAGTGTTATGCTACCTGGCTGATGAAAGATTAATGTCACTTATCAACTTGTTAGCCAAGCAGTTCAATGGGATGGGATCATGGGATAGGGCTATCTTTTGTGGCAGGAAGTATTGTCCAATTTGCAAACCGCCGGCGCGACAGTACTTATTAAGGTGAACATGGCACATTGGCCCGGAAAAAGATATGGCTGTGTCTGAGAATGGGAAGATACGGTGGATGGAAGAAATACTGCACCAGTTAATAGGTGGTTTAATCCTACTATTTATAGGCTTTCAACCAACCAAGGTGATGCAGGATTTCTTCCATCCATCATATGTTTGCATAGTACATCCAACTAAATGATTGATGGTTAGCATTACTGTACCACTACTGTACCGTTGCTGGACCCATTGGTTTGTGAGAATGTGGATTCCCCATTTTTTCATGATAGTTTTTATATGATTTACTGGTGAAAATCATGATTCCTGTAACCATCCATTTTTGGGTAGCCTATTTTCAGAAAAAAAATACATCTGGGGGAAAAAGACACCTTGCAAGAAATGGATCAAAGCTTCCGAATAACGGTATCGTACTGGTGGGAAGGCGAAGCGAAAGAAGAGGACAAGAGGCAAAGCAAGGATGTTCGCGACTTCACAATGGTTGACCGCGCGCTTTCTAGCGCTGCATTCCAGACCGCACGACGGGTCAAAGAAGGTGACAACAGGAGACAACGATTTCGATGTCAGACGCTTGTAGATTCAAAAACTTGGCCAAAGTCGCTAAGGTTACGATGTGATTGTTAGTGATATGGCTGATGAACCATATCCCATAGGATCCATGGTGCTGGTATATATGCTAACATTTGGGTTATATTCATGGTAAATGCTACAAATATATAGCAGCACCATGGATCCGTCATGGGTATGGGTCAAAGCGGGCAGCTGCACGGATCAACTCACTGCGGCTTGGTGAATTGATACAGCCAGCTTTCGTCCAGAAAAAGGGTAGCCTCTACAGTTATGGCCAGAAATACCAGTTATAAGTACTAACAATTTACCCCCATTTATAGAATGTAGAAAATCCCATAGAAATAACCAGTTATAACTAATAGCCATGGCCATAACTGTAGTAATTTGTGACACTTTGCGACGAAAATGGCCCACAGAAATAGTGGATTTCCCCATTGATGGTGGATCTTTCCACTTCGTTATGTAAACGTTTACCAGAGGGTCTCGTTTGTTTTCTCCCAAAGGTTGCCAATTTCATGGAAAAACTGATGATCATGGCCGCTTTGAGAAACCCCCGAGTTGGTTTCTCATTCGCCAGATAGTTGCCCTATGGCCATTGGATTTTTGGTGTATCATGGTGAATTCCCCCAACGAAGCACAGCCCCACAGTTATGGCCATTTATTAGTTATAACTGGTTATAAATGGGATTATACATTCTATAAATGGGGTTATAAGTACTTATAACTGGTAAATGACCATAACTGCAGTTGTCGCGAGTTTTTTGCCGCCAGTTGTCGCACGGCGGCACGACGGCCAGTACAGCTTGCTCTGTTGTGGGGAAGCTGAGCGGCGGAGCGCGAGGCTGCGAGGCTTTGATGTAGTCGGAGGCAGAAACACGTAGTAATGATAGTAATGTCTTTCTATATATATATAATATTTTATTATATACTCTATATTATATATATTGTCATTGTCATTGTCACCTCAGCTGAAGCTATGTTTGACTCCAGGTATCCATATGACTTGGAGGCGCCAATGACGTGTCTGACGTGATGTCTGAGATTATCCCGAGGGCTATGACTTGACGAAATATGGACGCCAAGCAACCCTGTTTCTGCTTAGATGGGCCATGGAGTTAGTTAACTGGTTAGTAAATGGATTATAATTGGGATATAGAGGGTTATATCCCCAGTTACTAACCAGTTAGTCAATCCCATAGCCCATCTAAGTAGCCTTTTATTTCATGGCAGTGATCTGTTTTGTTCATAGTTGTTAATGTTCATGATTGCAAGAGCTGCTCAGACTGCTCCATGATTTATTCGCTATTATAACTATGTGTTGGATTCAATAGTAATTATGTCAATGGTATTTTGTTGATTTAATTATACATATATATATATATATACAACATTCTTATAATCGTATATACCATCAGGTTTTTGCAGTTGGCTGAGTTATAACTGCTATAGTATACTCTAATATAAATACATATACAAACATATACACCTACATGAAACCTAGCAGTAGCATTGGGAACCCGCAAAGTATGGTTTGACACCTGAATCTGATTGGTGGTTATGAACATGTTTATTTTTCCCATCATATTGGGAATTTCATTTCATCCCAACTGACGAATTCATTCATATTTTTCAGAGGGGTAGGGCGAAAAACCACCAACCAGATTATTATTAACCATCATTAACAATCATCATAACATATCACAACCATTATTATTATTAACCATATATATATATATATTAAGAGTATATTACCCAACCAGTTGAGTTAGGTTAAGTGCTGCATCGGATGAATCGGATGTCGAAATCGCCCAAATCCACTGGTTAATCCCCAGGTGTGTTTCCCCAATTTTGTAAGGGACACCCAGCTCATGTTTCTTGGCGCTGTACATCATATATCATCATATATCTATATTATACATATACATATATATATATATTGTATATTGTATATATATATATATATATTGTATATATATTGTATATATACAAGCATACATTCGAATCTAAAATGGGTTGATCATTTGCGTGTGTATACACAGTATGTATATACATATATATATATATATTTATAGCTTTACATCCATCTATATCCCTCCTGTTGGTTAATGTTACCTTCATTAACTAGTTCGATATATTCATCAGAAACCCAAGTGAAACTGGAATTATGTTTACCAACTTTGCTAGCTAATCCGTGGAAATCACCATGTTTGTTATTTGTTGTTGGTTACCCTCTGGTAAACATACAAACAACTATGGACCACATTTTTTTATGGGTAAATAAACTAAATGGGTAAATAAATAAACAAACTAAATGGCAATAAATGGGTAAATAAATGGGTAAATAAACAACCAAACAACCATGGGTAAATAAACAAACTAAATGGCAATTTTCCCATGGTTTTGTTGAGGGACCACCTTGCCGTTGCCAAGGTGGATCCTTCTTACGACCGAGACTTCACCGTGCCGAGACGTTTAAAATGGGGATGGCAAAATGTGGTGTGTGTGACAATGGCGCATTTTTCATATGATATATAGTGGGATACAGTTGGAATGTTAATGTTAATGGGAATGTTAATGGGACCGTTAATGACATAATTATATATAAAAGACATGAAGTTAAAATGAGTTCACCAAGAAACAAATGGAAACCATGGGACTTAGCCATGTTTCACATGGGCAAAGATGGGAAAGTCACAGAAATGTGAAGAAGATTCTGATTTAACCAATACTAAATAGGGACTTGGCCAAGCAAATTATGGTGATTTCATTTCCCAAGAAGCACGGAACTTTAAGCACAATAACAATTTGCTAAACGATCCCCAATGATCAACTATAAAAGGTGGCTACTAGTATCATCCTGTTCTATCCCGTTCGGAAGATGATGTTCCTGATCAAAGAAGACAGTTTGTGACGTGGTATCCTGATGATAATTTGATACTACCACAGTAAAGGTACCCTTAAACACTGACAGTAATAGGCCTTATTTTTGTTTGATGGAAATATCTTTCCCGTACAATGTCAAACCAGGACTAAACAAATTGTCCCACCCGGGTTGGCATAGTCCACTGTGCGGTTCAGTTGAGCCCACTACCAGCAGTGATGACAGATCCTGAAAAAAACAGGGGTACCGTATTTTCGGTCGAACTCATATTAAAGAAACAACTACTGCGGAGGTATAACCTACCGGACTGGGATTTTTTAGCATAGGATGCATGATGTCTATATTCCCTTTTGTAATTAAACACAGCCACATAGCCATGAACAATCACCATTTGCTGAAGGTAAATCATCGAAGCAAAGGGATCATCTATAGTTATGTGAAATCACCATTAAAAGTCGATTCGTCCCCATGATATTCCCTGTACTTTTGGTCTTATAAACGTTGCTATGTCGAAAGAAACAAACTCACATCATTTCCCTGATTTCATGTTTTGTAATGGAAAAATCATACAGGATGGGCCCCCCTCAGTTATAAGTTGGTTTATATAAACCATTATAACCCCCATTAACTATAGCTACATCTACCATAAACCATAGATTTCAGCCACTTACAAGGCAACGGTTCACGCTATCTTGGGGGCCCCATCCGGTATATATGTCCAATGATTTTCAAAACCCAGATTTTCTAGGATTTTCATGTGTTTTTTTTGGTTAATGGCAATTCATAGGGGGTTCATGATATTTTTCTAGGGACTTTGATGGCGAATCGAGGCAACCTGCAACAAGGCTGACATGGTGGGAAATATGGGCGGCTGCTTGCAAGCCTGCCGGGGAGCTCGGACGGCTTGGCATAGCTTGGAAAGAACCTGGGCATGGGTAGTTGTTTTTTACAATATTAGTATCTTGCTGTATGTGTAGATATATTATATCTATAGATATAATCATAATATATATATATATATACATATGTATATATATACAATATATATATAAGCACATGATATGAAGGGAATTTGCTGCTGGTTAGCTAGCCTATATGTTTGCAGCCTATGTCAAATTGGCCATGTAGATAGCTCCGTGACGCTCCGTGGATGATCCGCGGGCGCCCGGTTTCCCCGGCTTCTTTTACTGGATGCCTGATGCCTGGGTAAATGCCTTCAAGCTCTTAATTTAGCTGAACATATCCCAAGTGCTTCATGGTGCTGGAATATTTACCTACATGACTGGGCCACGTTTATTTAGGGTAAATGTAGGGATTCATATTCCAGCACCATGGTTCGCATCTGGGTATTTGTCTTCTTCATATCCCACAGTGGTTGTAAATCCACTCAAGAATTCGTGCCTTTTCCACTGGTCTTTGGCAGGTCATCCTTCTGTTGCTCCATGTGTACTCTACTTTTTCTTAGCGGGGTGATATAGCACGCATCCTATTGTCAGAAGTGGGGCCACAAAACTTGGGACAAAACCAGCAATGTACTTGGCGGTAGTTGCAGGGGCGAATTCTTCCGCCCCATGTCTGATTTTTGTGGTTACAGTTATGGCAATTATTAGTTATAACTGGTTATAAATGGGATTATACATTCTATAAATGGGTTTATAAGTACTTATAACTGGTAAATGGCCATAACTGTAGTAAATGTTAGTAACTAACGGTTTGTAGCTGGGATTAGTGAACAACTTATAGATCAGATGCAGCAGGAAACCAACCCCGTGTTTAGATGCCCGATGTTTATTTACTCCTTCCAAAAGATACTGACTGGGATCCTTAAAGTTGCCAAATGATTAGTTCTACTATACTCAGTTTTCTTGACTATATATATATATATTATAAATATATGTTTCCAAACAATTTTCATGGATCCTCATGATATCGCTACTTCCCCTACTGAATTCATGATGATTTCCAGGTGGAGTCACAAGCGACTGACAAATTGCTTCCTTGGGTGAAGTTATAACCCACAACAGATACCCTCTGGTAAACGTTTGCATAACAATGGGGAAACACCATTTTTTAATGGGTAAATCAAATATTTCTATGGCTATTTTCAATAGCGAGCTGTTAAATTACCAGAGGGGAAATGTTTTATGAGCCAATTTGTGCCATTTCCTATGATATTCCCACTGCAACACACTATTTTCACTGCTATTTCCATAAGTTTCCCATGATTTTCTCAGTGCTATTCAGATTTTATGCATAGTGAGATTTCCATCATATCAGTGGAATTCGATGTCTAATCATGTAATCCATTACATTCCCATTGTAATCAATCTGATCCACTAGATTATGGTTCATTATATTCTCATTATAATCCAGTGAAATATTCATTGTAATCCATTCATTGTAATCCATTCATTGTAATCCATTCATGAAATATGGTCATTTCCTATTAATAATGGTTCATTATAATTCCATTATATTCCATGTATTTCCACTATAATACCATTATATCCATTCATTATAGTGGAGCTTTATATATATATATTATCATATCATATAGTGAACTAATTCCACATTATTTTTCACTATAATCCATATAATTCCACTATATAATTCCACACAAAATCACTATATTATATTATCATTCTCCCATCATACCATTGATAGTATGGTATATTACATATCATATATTCTATATTATCATATCAATAGTGTGTTTATGATCTTATCATATTCTCATCATTCTCATTGTATGATGTAATCCACTACCAGCATTCTTTATGAACGCCATCGCTGAAACGCCGCCGAGGCACCACTGAAACTGTGGGTCTTTTCGCACTTGGACCCGAGACCGGCAAGGTTGGGGCGGAGTTTAAGCGTGAAAACATGGCGCTTGAAACGGTTGAATAATGGTTGTTTAGCCAAGAAGGAGATTTATATAACCAAAAAACGAAAATGGGTTGATTGAACCAGAAAAAAAAACTGTAATTTAACCATGAAGATGTGGGAATGAACCATCATCAACACGGGATTTGCCAAGCAAAACGTGGCGATTCAAGCAGCAGAACTAGGGATTAAACCATCAAGTATAGTCTGTCTTTCCAGGCAAAAGTGTCAAGAAACAAAACATGGAGAGTTTCACCAACAACCATGGAATAAATGGTTCAATATACAGCAGGAATCGTTTGTTTATGGTTTGTTTCTTAAATGACACCATGGCAACCATGGCTCAATATACAGCAGGACTATGAAGCGTTGTGATTTTTGACTATCAACTTGGTGGCAAGCCCGGGAATATAGTGAACATGGGGCACACTGTAGCATGGTGCCTGGAAAGTCGAGACTCTCATGCGACTATCATCAAATTGAATGGTGAATTTTCCAGTCATTTGATTGCCAGAGGATACCCCCTGGTAAACGTTTACATAACTATGGAAAATCACCATGTTTAATGGGAAAACTCACTATAAATGGCCATTTTCAAAAAGCGAACTGTTAAATTACCAGAGGGTATTAGTTTAGTAAGTCATTTGAGCACTGCCTCAACTCCCCAATGATAAATGGAAAAAAAAACGGGGCTGGGTTGTAGCATGTGGTTAAATGACGATGAATAACTATACCCAATAAATCAATAGATAAACAAACCAATGAGTTAATTGCTATTAAACCTCATACCAATATTTGTTGTTATACCATACTATTGGATGAATATGATCCAATGGGAATTCAATCAGCCAATGGAGTGGCCTGAGTCGGCCACTGCTCAACAGGATTTAATGGGCATTCAGCGACCTCCCAAATGTGGACCCCCCCAAGTTTCTAAGGCTTGATGTGTCGTTTTTTTGTCCACCAACAAGCCCTAAAAGGGAGAAATTCAACCATCAATTATTGGTTGAATCCCCTATAGGTATACCGGTATACCTGGGTTTGCATTGTAGGTGATGTTTTATTGCTCCAGGCTATCTCTAGGAACTTGTTTTATTGTTGGACTCCGTGAGCACTATTTCAGTAATATCCAAACTAATCGCTTCCTGTATGGTTGCAAGAGAATCATATCCCATGATATTCCAGCAATATCCCATTAATATCTATACTGGTTGGTGGTTTCAAACATGGCTTTTATTTTCCATTTCATATATGGGATGTCATCCTTCCCATTGACTTTCATATTTTTCAAGATGGTTAAAACCACCAACCAGTTTTTGTTCAAACCTTTTTGGGACGATATTTCAAAGATTGACACCACCAACCAGCTAACCATTGTTTGGATTAATATCCCATTAATATCCCATTCATATGTATCCTCCAGTAAATTAACATAGACCCTGCCAGATAGGGGTTGGAAGATTAGTTTCCATTAAAAATTGTTGATTTTCAGGGTCTATGTTAATTTACCAGAGGGTATAAGTTGTTGACCCAATCAGATATTCCCATGCCATGCCAGGTCTCCCCAAGTTCCCGCTTGCCGGGTGATGGAAGCAGCTTCGGGATGGACTGCAGCGTACGCCGCCGGCCGCCGGCCGTGGCAATGCCATTGGGTGTAGAAAACACAACAAGAAACATGGAGATGGAACCAACAGGAATGGAACAAAATCATGGTTAATAGTGGTTAATAGGCTATAAACCAACAACAATGGGAATATGATGGTGATCTGGTTGGTGGTTTGGAACATTTTTCCCATTCAGTTGGGAATGTCATCATCCCAACTGACGAACTCATATTTTTCAGAGGGGTTGAAACCACCAACCAGCAACAGAAATGGGAAAAAAATCAACAGAAATGGAGTTTGAACATGATTGAACCAAGAGAAATGGATTTTTTTCAACAAGAAATCATCAGAAATGGAGATTGAACCAAGAGAAACCAGAGTTTTTTTTTATACCCATCCAAGTGCAGATAATGCTGACCGCCGGATGCTCCTCCAGGTTCTTAGATGGGTGAAAAAAAATCAAAAGGAGCAAATACATGAAACAAACATATTAAATAGCCACTAAATACTAATAATCATTAGTAAATAGCTACGTTTAACATTATTTAACCATTATTTTAATATCTATGATTCGCTACTTGAATGGCTAAGATGATCAATCGTGTTTAATAGTATATTGTGATATAACTGTATATTTAATGATTAATGAAACATGGCCAATATTTAGATAACATCGCTACTAAGCTGGTCACATGAGTTGCCGCTTGGATGGCCATACCAGCCTATGCACATGGTGCAGCCCACGTGGTGAGACAACGATGGAAGATCAGCATGGGCTCATCTACTACGTTTGCCAAGCGCAGCATGAAGGGTGTTGCGAATGGTTGGTGAGCATACGGTTGCAATGCAACGATTTGCATGTACTTTTATGTGTAATTAACCAAAATCAAGGGCCATGTTTGACTATCAGATTGTAGTGGTGTTGTCCAGCAAAAGCAAGAGACAAGAACAAGCAAACACGGGATTGTAGGGTTGGGATTCTTGGATTGTACATGGGAACAACATGGAATTTCCGAACAAAAGGGGTAAGAAAGTCGTGTAGCAGTCCAACTCCAATTTCCCGCTGGTTGATTGAGTGTTTGAGGTCATTGATCCTAGCCTCTGGCAAGAATCCGGCAAGAACATGCTTCGATGACAGGGTGAAGAATCCCTTCCTCCCAACAAGAACCCCAAAAATATATTTGCCTTGGTACTTGGAAGTGCAGTTTCAGTGAACTAAGTGGATATAAATATGATATAATATATGTTATATGTTACATCATAGCTGTAGGGGTACCATAAACCAACTTCACCTTAAAATATACCATAGTTAGTTATATAAGCCATGTTTTTCCACCTCTGCCCAAGTACAAGTGATTTGTTTGGGAGCCGTTGGGAATGGGATGACCTGGTTGCGCTCGTTGCGCTTCGAAGCCTTGCCAGGCACTTGGGGTTCAACATCAAGGAACCCTGGAGGTGCCCTGCCAGTCATCTGGGTTGGAAGATGAGTTTCCAGTAACATATTGGGTGATTTTCAGGGTCGAACTGTTAATATACCAGAGTCAGAGGGTATAGTTCATATTGAACTAAACATCTGTATTGGAGTTGAACTATTTTTACAGATTTGAACTATATTGACAACATATGGATTGATCATATCGAAGATGATAATCAATATTGGAGATGATATATCATTTTGAACTATATTGACAACATATAGGAACTATAGATGTTTGGAGTTCATAGATGCATCGGAATATTGGATAGGATTATGTTTGGGGTTCGTATGGATTATAACAGGAAGTTGTGTGACTATATTGACTTGATGTTGGCGTTTGATGTTATATGCCATGTTGACTTTATTATAATGGGAACTGTGTATCGAAATTCTGGTTGTTTCGTGTTCCACTCCGGTATTTCCTGAAGGGCATGTGTGAAAAACATCATCGCCCCGCATCCAGGCAACTTGCAGTGCAGAGCTCAGAGTGTGGTCAGTGGGGGTACGTCTGAGCCAACCAAAATGTAGCCATTCATTTAGTAAGAGTAGTAATGTGGGTAAAGCAATGCCACAAACCATCCCCCAGTCATCACCATTTTTATAGGTGCTATGTTTACCAGTCCCAGGAAAGTGGGTGGTAAAAATTGCATTATTTTAGCCACAATATTTTTTGGTCAATCCAAAGCATGATGATGTGCCCGATGATGTGCCCTCTCACTTATTTGTGACGTGAGGCTAAAGACATGGCTTTGTTTCTCAATGGGGGTCAACATCACCAAAGATGCTGGTGACATATCCCTACTCGGAGAAGCATCTGGTGTCATCAAACGTGTAGTACCCTCCGGCCCTCTGGTGTCATCAAACGTGGCTGCCGGGAAATTCCCCGAACTAAATAGAGGTTTTAATATTTTTAATGAGGACATTATGTATAGTAGAGGAATTTTCCAGCCAGCCACGTTTGATTTCCTGAGGGCCAGAGGGTAAGAGTTTGGTGATTGGGGTTCCGATATGTTCTGACACAATATCAGTGGGAAAAAAAAACAGTTGGGGAGGTTACCAACCATCGGACCATCAACCACTTTCTGTCGCTGGGATTATCCCCGAAAACTTATCTTCAGTTCCCGTTCCAGTAGACCATTGGTAAACTTGGAAATATGTGGTAATTTCATCGAAATGAAACTCACGTCCTGGTGGCATGAGTTTTTTTGGGGTTCGACATGGACATCGACATCCCCAATGGAGCGAGCTGTTTTTCATCATCCTACGAATCCTAAGTGGTTTAATCCGAAGTTCGTCGACAGATTGGTCAGCAAGTGGGATCAAGTGCCAAGTACCTAACCAAGAAAAAACATATATCTGGGTAAATTATAACGACCTCACTGCGACCTCACTGGAATCATAGTCAATAAGGGAAATCATCCCCAAATGGCCTTAATTCAGGTTAGTGAAATATTATAATTTACCCAGATATATAGTGTATTCAACACATGAACAATTGACCAACAAACATTGATGAGTCCATTAGTTTTCAATGATTTTGCCGGGATTCTCTGAAAACCCAGAGATACCCTCAGCAGATCATCCTAAAAGACCATCTCACCAACAAGACCATACCAGAATTGATTTTAGGGAACATGTGCATGTTTTTGTTTGTTTTAAGAACGTATCTGGTGACAAACAACTGATAAACAACTGATTTATTGTGTTTAAACTTCAATAAACCTGGTTCCCGCAGTTTCCATTCTCCCTTGCTCCTGAGAAAAGAAACAGCACATTGCGGGCGCCCACGAGGAACACTAATTGAAATCCGCCACTCGCCCCACTCGCCCCACTCGCCCTACTTGCCCTGGGCTAGCAAATTAATTGAAATCCGCCACTCGCCCCACTCGCCCCACTTGCCTTGGTAGGAAAATTAATTGACTTTGGCCACTCGCCCCACTCGCCCTACTCGACCCCACTCGCCCTACTCGCCCCACTCGCCCTACTCGCCCGACTCGCCCCACTCGCCCGACTCGCCCCACTCCCCCCACTCGACGCACTTGCTGCGGAGGTAAGCAGAGCAAGTGCAAGCTGGGCAAGCGGGGCAAACGGGGCAAGCGGGGCAAGCGGGGCAAGCGGGGCAAGCGGGGCAAGCGGGGCAAGCGGGGCAAGTGGGGCAAGCGGGGCGAGCGTGGCAAGCGGGGCAAGGGGGCAAGCGGGGCACGCGATATACACTGACAGGCCCCATTTTGCGCAAATTGGAGCTCCCACCTGATAAACGACAATAGTCAAAATTACTTTCCTCGAGTGGCCCCGGTCAACTGGCATTCTAGTTGACATATATATATTATATATATATATTGAGATTCTATCGGGCATTCTTTCTGGCATTCCATCTGCCATATATTTTGAGATTGTATCTGATTATTTTGATATTCTCTCTGGCATTCTATCTGATATTCTATCTGGCATTTTGTCTGAGATTTCATCTGACATACTGCCTGACATTCTACCTGGCATTTTTTATGGGAGTCTATGCGGCATACATTCTGACATCCTATCTGGCATTCTTGCGGGTCTGTGTTTCCAGATGCATGTTTCCCACTTGCAAACATTGGCTCTATCTGGTGGTGCCACTTGCCACTGTCAAGATTAGCGGCCCTTGGCTTACCTGTGCTCTCTGAGCCGGGCTGTCGATGGTATCTCGAGCATACAAAAGTACAATCACAAGGATGTATGTTATTTACCCGTATTTGGTTAGGCAGTGGGCCGTATGGAAATATAGAGATTTGGTACAGTGGTTCGAACCAAGCCAGTAAGTAGCGACGCAAAGTGTGCTGGTGTATATAATGTCTTGAGCTGTAAATTGCAGATTCTGTTTGTGATTGGGACATCTTGAAGTCAACAGCGAGATGTCAGGAACTAATCTCCCGACGACAGGAATTCATCATTTGTACCGTTACCACGACTGCCCTATTTGGAGTCGTTTTTTTTGCAGTTTATCTTCACGCTCATGCCCGGGGCCGGGGTTGAATTTGGTGGAGTGATTGTGTCTTTGCGGGCAGGATCGGCATTGAGAGATAACGTGAACTTTAGAACCTTGATTTCGAATCTTGTTGCTTGTTTCAGATGTTTCCGAAAAATTTCGTTTTGAGTCATGTCAGCTTTAGACGCTGCGCACTTTTCGGCTCAAGAGAATCTCACAGAGACGGGTCAGTGAAACTGGCTCATTCCTGATAGCGCGCATCCATCGCCGGACCAGCGCGCATCTTCATCAAGCTGTTGTGAAGTTGCCAACTTCTGGTAGTCGCCGGGCTACTGTGGAACTTTGCCAGCACTTGCTTCCACGGCCATGCATGGCTTGGGAATATACTTTTGATTAATGCTGGGGGCTTTAGCTGCTCCCCGATGATTTCAGATCAGCTGTCCCAAGGGCCAGGAAACGATTCAGCTTCGTTCGAAAAGCGCAGAAAAAGCCGGCTGGCTTGGTTGTGGTCTGTGTCATGCTGCATACTGCCATTACTTCAAAACCACTCACCTGATTTTCGATTTTTTCCCAGTTTTCCAGGTTCGCAGACCGCGCTGCAGCTGTACTGCACCATGGTGTCCTTGTTTGCGTCAAACACCTTCTCATCTCATTTTGTTTTTCTCGATTTTCCTGGTTCGCAGTCCTTGCAGCAGCTGTGCTGCATCATGGTTTCCTTGTTTGCATCAAAGTTGCAGTGCCATGTTGAATGTGCCTATTTGCAACTGTCGCTCCCGTTGTTCTCAAGTTGATCGCCTGAGCTACTGTTGTCCACCTGTGCTCTCCGAGCCGGGAAATTGACTTAAACAAATATATTCGCTGCATTGGCCGCCATGGAAACGCAAGACATAACTGCGGTACTGCCCAGTAGGGAAACAGCAGACTGTCACGCTAGCAGTATCAGCCAAGGTTCAGGAACTCAAAGAGATTTTGCAGCGATGATATGATTCCTGGACGCGCGAGGTGCGGTGTTGCGGGTCGATGATATGATTCCTTCGGCTGCAAGCGCACACTGCGTTACATGTGTCGCGCGTTTCCCTTGTCTCGCTTCAACCTGGAAAGCCTTTGCTCTGTGGTGTCACAATGACCGTGTAGTGATGGGGGCATCCTGCCTACGGCTCCGACAGCTCTGGTGTGTGCAAGCGCCTGCGCAAAGTGGTGCAGATCGTTGCCAGCGGCCGCGCTTTTGCCGCAGTGACATCATACGGATCTGTTGTTACCTGGGGCTTGCCGAAGATGGTTGCTGACAGGGCAATGGTACGGCAGCAGCTCTATGGCAGCAGCTCTATGATGTGAGAAGCGTGACTGCAGCTGCCCAGGGCGCATTTGCCGCCCTTCGTCATGATGGGTCTGTCGTCACCTGGGGTCCAAGCCAAATTGAAGGGAGTGACGCAGATTCACAGCACGCATACTGCATTCGCTGCCATTGTGTTGGATGGGTCCGTGGTTGCTTGGGGAGACCCTATAGTAATGGAGGAGACAGCTCGATGGTCCCCGACTTCAAGGCATTGTGAATGTTCAGGGCAACCCTTATGCATTTGCAGCTGTCACGGAGGAAGGGTCGCTTGTCACCTGGGGAAAGGCCACCTTGGGGGGCGATAGTTCTGTGATACGAGAAAGTCCGGCAAGTCACACCCTCTTTGAAAGGGTTCTTTGCCAATGCTGACGGATGTCAAGTTCATACATGGGTCTGTCAAAGCGTTTGCAGCAGTGCGCTACAATGGATCCATTGTTACATGGGGAGCGCAGGACGGAGGCGGGGACAGCTCCGCAGTGCAATCTGTGTTTGCCACTTTCTAGTTGCAGTGGCCATTAATGTTGCTACTGCAGCTGCGGCAAAATTAGACATCTTCACAAACTTGGACATATGGTATAGACAAACAGGCCTGCGGAACAGCCTGCTATGGTGTAAAAATTTGCGATGGGAAGCTGGGCGCAATGGTAATCTAGTGGTCGAAATAGTCGGGACATCCTCTCAATCCCTCAGATGCACTGTCCGCTGCAGCTGCCCTGCATGCTCAGAGAACTTCATGCTTTTTAACTACAGTGTTACAGTGTGGTGTAGCATTTGCTTGTTTGCGCCTATCTTCATCCGTTGGGCTCAAATTTAGGCACCTGCGCCAGTATTGTCAACCTGTGCTCTCCGAGCCGGGCGATTGACGTAGACATCGTGACATTGAGCTGATATGTAGATGTACGTGTTCATGCTGTGAACAAGATCATCATTGTCATTTACAACCTTGTAGCTCTCCTTTGAAACCATGGCCGACGAAGCGCAAGCGACTCGGCGAGCCTTCACCATTCAGGGGCGCAGGTTGCTTAGCTATGCTGCGAGGTTCCAAACGCATAGAATCTCGGAAGAGGCGGATGGCAGCTGGCTGGTACTATTTTCACGTGGGCCGTTAGTCAATCAACAGCTTGCCCCCCGAATGTTCGGCCGCCTTGCGCCAGACATGGCCGGATGCGCCAGAGGAAGCTTCTTTGTCCAAAAGTTGCGTGGTTGGGATGGTGTGCCTAGGGAAGGTGATTCAAGCCAGCAAGGTTGAAAACCCATGGGTCTGTGCCTCCTTGCCGTTGGTCCCCGAGATTGTTGCCATAGAGTTCAGATCCCCAGTTCGATGGGAAAAGGGGAAGCAAGTTGTCTGGCATGTCAAAGAAGGAGAGATGCAAGGGAAGCTGAAGGAAGCAACCGCCTCTGGGATTCCTTGTGGCCAACTGCAGAAGATGAGGGACCCGCTGCCAAGCGCCAGAAGCTCACGCAGCCGCCTTGGAAAAGCAAGAAGCGGAAGCGCCGTTCTGACGCTGGGAACACCGGCAGTCCGGCTCAAGTTTCCTTCACAGCATCCAAGCGTCGCCGGCTGCTTCTTCGCAGCTCTTTGCAAAAGCCGAAGTTGGCAAAAGCACCAGCATCAGAAGCCTTGCAGGCCAGCACAAGCCCGCAGAGGGGACCTGACCGTTGCAGTCTTGCCCAACGGGTGGCAGCAGGAAGGACGTTGGAGCTGCTGACAACACTGATGGCAAAGTCACACAGTTGCAGCCCAGAGGAGGTCTCTTTGCTTTCCGGGACGATCAGCCAGTGTTCATTCTGAGTGTACGGACAAGCAGAAAAATTCCTTTGGCTGATGTGGTTCCATTGAAGCAGGCAACTTTTCAAGGACGAACCGTCCTCAAAGCCAAATACACAGAGACCCGCACATGCAGATGGAGTGAGCTCAAAGATGTCGGCTTACATTTCCAGATTGCCAACTGTGCGAATGATCGCCGTGGAGCGAGTGGCTTGGCCTCGATGATTTTTTGTAACATGTTGCCATCCTTTAAAGAGAGACCCGCAACAGATTGTTTTTATGTAGCCTTGCATGCCTAGGCTTGCCGTTCCAGAAGCAACCGGGGGAAACACAAGGAGATCAAGGCAGAGCTTTGCGCGAGAATGCAGCTTTGGCAGCTCGCTGGCAGGCTGGCAATGCAGAGCTAGGTTTGGCCACTTCATGCACAGTTGATCACTCGGTGCGATCCGTTGTGCCAGTGCGTTTGCGGGCGCACCTGGCCGAACGAGCTGCTTCAGGTATTACCCATCACGCGGCCCCACGCGCAGATGAGAACCGTTCCTTTTGGATTCCGCGACTGAATTAGTTCTGTCTACCTGTGTTCTCGGAGCCGGGCAATGTCAGGACAGTATATCATTGAGTCATTGAATCTATTAATGCAACACAATCACACACACACAAGCAGCATCAGAGTCACCCTTTTAAAGCCTCTAGCCCTATGTTAATGGCAACGCAGCGCCCTTTCTGCTGACGCCGCAAGATGCTTCCCCCCGGTGATGCTGGGTATGGAATTTGGCCGGGCAATTTTTATTGTGGTGTGCGATCCATGGCTCCGTTTGGTGCGTGGCTCCCTTGGCAGGAGGGTGTGACCTTAGCTGCAGCCTTTGGCTTCACAGAGAATGTATGCTTTGAATGTGCTGACACCTGGTTGCAGCTGGATGCTCTGGAATTTGACCCTCCAAGGCGGTCTGGAGATGGCAGCGGCCGGGCAGATGTGCAGCGGATTCGCTTGCTCTACAAGCGTGATTTACACGGAGATGATGGGCTCGTTATAGTTTCCTGTGACGAGGAGGATGTCATCTCCCCGCAGCATGCTCCACCAAACGTATGTAGACGCTGGCGTTCAGGTGCATTAGGGCCCATTGCGGGTGTTGAAGTTGACCTTGCATTGCCGCGGGCGCTGGATGAGCAAAATGTTCGTCTCTTGCTTGTCTATACTGGCACCTGTACAGTCAAGTTGATCAAGAACGTCCGCCTGAAAATTTGCCGCCAGACATTCCGCTATGGGCTTGGGAGTTGTTTTCAAAACCAAGATTTCATTGGACTGAGGCTCGGGTTCAAGCGTTGCAAGAATCTTGTTTGCAGACGCTGCAGGCCGCAGACCGCAAATTATCCGTACCTGATTAGCGCCGCCCTGGCTTCGTCCACTGCGACCTGTGGGTCTCAATGGCACGGACGATATTGTGCTCTCAATCGCAAGAAACTTCCAGAAAGCAGTCCTTTTGTACACTAGGCCAAGCAGTTTTTGATCATGTCGCGAGGTTAAAAAAATTCGCTGCGCGCTACAGAAGTGTTGAAACTGAGAGATGTGGAGGGCATGTGAACATTTTCACATTGTTCCGGCTGTCCACGCAGCGCAGCATGCATGAGAGCCAGTTTGGTTGCATGGAGTCGATATCACGCTTGGGACTGCAAAGGCGAATCCGACAAATATGACCATGATACCACGCATTGACAAGTGCTCTCCGGTACCCAAGCCGCGCCATCAAGTTCAAGTTGTAGGAGTTAGTTTGCTAGAGATGGCCACGTGTGAAGTTTGTGGAGATGGTTTCGCAGACGATGCGGAAAAACACTTGTGCTCCCCGAGCCGAGACTCTTGCTCGCACGTGTGCCACGCGGATTGCTTGCAGCAATACCGATTAAAGCAGGGCTGCCCTATGCATGACTGCCCATTCTGTCTTCAGAATGAAGATTCCCAGGAAGAGGCTGATGATGCCGCTTTGCAAGAGATGGAGATTGAGGCAGCAATGGAAGCAGAGGCTGTGGCTGAGGGGGCAAAAAGAAAGACCAGAGAAGAGGCAGCTTCGCCTGTCCGTGCGGGTGGGGGCCCAGCGGGCAAGAAGTTAGCAACCAACGCAAGCCCGCCCAGGAGGACAACGCAGCCCAGTGCCGCCCACCCAAAAATCCCCAAGAGGGTGGAAGTGAAGCAGCCCGCTTGTCCATTCCAAGCTTTGGGATTGACATCTACGACCTGAGTCGGACCAGCAAGGCATCTACCACGGTGAAGGATCCTATGCACGACGCCATGTCGGAGTACTTGGCTTGCAGGGATGAAGCACAAAGCCTTTCGTTGCTTCACACCAAGAGCACATATCAAGGGCTTGGAAGCCCAGAGGCTTCTTATCAAACCGTTCTGAATGCAGCCTTGAAAGACCCCAGGGACCACCACGCTGTGGCATCAGACTTTGCCTTCAGAACTCGAGAAGTGCTGCCCGTGCCTTTCAAAGTCAGCTTGAGAACCATTGCCCGCAAGGAAGGTTGTGAGCCTGAGACATTCATGGCGCCGATCCTCAGCAACATTGGTTGGATGGAGCATCCATGCAGGCACGCGGCTTCGATTGCAGCCTGATGAGGAGCACCGACGTGGCTGCGTAGTCCAGATTGTTTGCGCAGGTGACCCCAGCATGCGCAAGAGTTATTTGAAGGATTTTACCTGCAAAAAGCTTCTTTCCCATGCAGATGTCCCTGCTGTCATCAAGGCAGGTGGCGCCACATGCACGGATGCCACCATCAAGGGTCTTCGTGCTTCTATCAAGAATATGCCCGAGCTGGCATCATTTCGGATGAGATTGCCACAACAATGTGCCATGACATCCGGGAGGGAGACCCGACACTCAGGTCTGCATTACGGCAACAAAGAAAAGATGTGCACTTGGCTGAACTGCGAAGATGACAAGACAGTCACTGGAGATGGTGCCACGGCGCTGACTCATTACACCTTCGTTCACCAAGTGTATGGACAGGTGTCGCTTTGTGAGTATGTGCTCCAGCCGACTGCAAGCATGTTTTGCAAGAGAATCCATGCGACGTGGCAAACAAGGCCAGTGACAAGTGACCCTGATCAGCAGAGCCAGTCCAGCAAAGAGTTCCTGATTGACTTCTTTGGTTGGATGGGGCGCGTGGCAAGCAACCAGGACAAAGACCACTATTTTGACAAGTTCGCCTTGCCCGTGCTCAGGAAGGCTTTGCAGGGAATCTCCGACTTCTTTCACGAGAATCACGAGAATCACGAGAATGTAGAGGAACCAATCTAACAGAAGCTACGCTATGCTGACACAGATGTGGTTCGGTACGCTAATGCAGCCATGCGTTGCAGGCAGTAGTCTGAGGCCCGAGCGCGTTGGCCCTTGATAGGATCATAGATGAGTTTGCCGTTGAGATGACCATCTTCGATTTGGGACATGCCTTGCATATCTGGCGTCGCCAAATGTGCTTGTGGTTTGCCTTCTATCGCTCCAAGCAAGTCCAAGCCTTGGTAGGCCCCAAAGCAGTGCCAGATGTCAAGCCCCCAGGACTTGCAGATTTGGATGCCAAGATGAAATTGCAGCGAGTCATTCTGTCCAATCCTCGATGTGCTGGTCCAACCTCCACTGCGCACATTCGCTCTGTTCTGAAGTACCACTTTCAGAAGGAGAAAGAGGAAAAACCAGCAAAGTTCGTCTTGGCAGCAGTCAAAGACCTCTTGAAAGTTGGCATCTTGCAAGAGGTTGACAAGAAGGAAGTGGAAGAACAGGCGCCCAAACTTAAGGACAAGAAAAGCGCCAAGAGCAAGGAGGCCACGCTAAAGAGCGAGCCACGAGGCCCGCCAGGTGGCCACGCTGTCCTGTACTACCAGACATGTGCCTGGGAGGGCCTTTTGACTAATTCGGAAGCTCAAGACATGATTGCCGAGCTTCAACTGAGTGCCAATGATTTCAAGTAGGATTCCAGAAATACGAGGTCTTGCACGGTCCCATGTCTAAACTGTCAGCCCAAAAAAAGAGTGACAATGTGCTCCAAAGCACTTGTTGTATATAAGTCTTGTTTCCAAAGATACGCGTCAATAATGGTGCGATTCCTCGAAATTAAGCTCTGGCTTCTTTCCAGCCCGAGCGTGTTCCTGACCCTACGAGGTGAATGCTTTCAATCAAGACTGTATGGTGGCTGCAACATATTGTGCGTCAATTTCAATCAACCCACCCATTTTCATGACAAGACATTGTGGTGTGAAGATCTTGCATAGTGGTTCATCACGGTGTCCAAAGCCACATTCAAAACAGTCTGCTTGGCCTTCTAGTGTTCAATCGTGTGCGCTGGTGGCATGAGATTGACAAAGGCCCAATCTATTCTTTTTGAGGCAAAGCGGACAGCCAACACCGCGGCTCCAAAATAGTTTGTGCGGCGCATATGAAGCCACTGTTCGCTGAACATAGCCGTTCGAGATGTTGAAGCAAGACACATGTTTTATTTGTTCCTGATCAAGTCCAAGAAAGAATTGAAACTTGCACCTGTTTATTCTGTTTTCTACCATTTCTGTTTTCTACCATCCTTTCCGACTGCGATATAATTTTTCTGCTTCATGGGGGAAAGAAGACTCACGGGAGTCCTGTCCACACCGGCCATGTCGCTGACTCCTGCGTCTGCAGGTGCCGATGCTAAGTGGCACCATGACAATGGCTTCTACCTTAGGGATTCAGCAGATGCTGATGCCAGCATGCGTGATGTTGGCACGCAATCAAATAGAGATGGCACAATAGTCCACTCCTCACTGTGACCATCGGGTCTGTGGTCCCGCGGGGCACGTGCACTGCGCGTCGGTGCGCATTCCCGGAATGGCTGGAGGTTGCTTCCGGTGATGCTTGATGCTTAATGTCACATTGGTGTCATGTAATGTTCAACGCAATTTTTCTAGGACATGTTTAAACATAGTCGATCTTTGTTTGGTCTCATACAGACCTTGTACAAAAGGATCTTGCACAGCAGCGTCTAGAAAGAACCTGTCAAGGAGATCTTGCACACGTCTTCTACAAAGGGAACTTGCAGAATCCAATCTCGTATTGATGCCACGGTGTTTGGAGTCGCCACTTAATCCCCGTCGGCCGCTCCACTCGCCCCACTCGCCCCCCTCGCCCCACTCGCCCCATTCGCCTCACTCGCCCCACTCGCCCCACTCGCCCCACTCGCCCCACTCGCCCCCCTCGCCCCACTCGCCCCACTCGCCCCACTCGCCCCACTCGCCCCACTCGCCCCACTCGCCCAAACATTCCATTCACGTTACCACCTCTATTCCTTTTTCATATTGCTGTGTGGTGAAACCAAAGCAAGCAGGGCAAGCGGGGCAAGCGGGGCAAGCGGGGCAAGCGGGGCAAGCGGGAAGAACCACCGATCTTCCCTCGGCTTGCAAGTAGGGCAAGCGGGGCAAGCGGGGCAAGGAGGAAGATTCACTTATTTTCCCTAGAAGGGGAGCAAGCGGGGCAAGCGGGGCAAGCGGCAGAAATCACTTAGCGGCCCCGCGGGGCACCCACACTGGACCATTGGATATTCATTTGGAAACATACAAATACCTACAAAACCAACCAACATGGGCTGAGATGATGACAATTACATCGCCAATAATTAGTATAATATATAATGATATATTAATGATATATCATTTTATAATGTATATCAACATATGCCAATATGATTGAAGATCAGGGCGATCATTGGGATCACAAGGATCATGGGGAAATGGCGATGGGTCAAGCCACCTGCGATTGTTCCATATCCTTCCACATTGATGACATTAGTGTCAACATCAACTCACTTAGTTTGGTATTTACCCAAGGTGAACTGACCCCCCTACATGACTTGGATCCACATTCTGAGGTCATTAAGCGACAGACAGGACCATCGAGTGGCGTCTGGATGTTCGGTCTGATGGGTTTGTCCAAATGGGTGCTGTAGATCCCCCAAATGATCCAAAACTGCCATTGAAAAGTGGGAAAATTGTGATCAACCATGGGACTTTGTTTTCTCCCCAGAAAATCAGCCAGAGATTGATGGAGCTTCTAATGAATAAGTGTCTCCTCCATTTCAGTCTCTTTTGCAAAACAAGATCCTTGCCATTTTTTTGTTCATTTTCTATCCCTGGTTCGAGAAGCTACTCCTACATTGCAGAGGATGCACACATTTGCAGGATTTTGCTTTGCCTCCGAGTGATTTAGTGGCCATGTCGTCGACCGAAACTGTTGCTTGCTCAGATGCATTTGAGCACATTTCTTTATCTTCATCGAATCCTGAAGTCATTTTGATTTTGGTCATGGCAACAAATTATGGAGCAGTTGAGCGCTGCAAACTTGTGATGGAACTTCCGCACCACACTCCAGCTGTGGCTCAAGGCAAACAAGATGAAAATAGCGTTGCTGAAGTACCCCAAGCGAGCGGCCATGCAGGTGCTACCACAATTTACATCGCAGAACTGCCTTTCCTTAGCAGCGGTTCTCCCTGTGGTGAGTGTTTCCAGATATTTTCAGAGTTATATGCCGAGACTTGTTTTTGAGAATGAATTACATTGATTTGGAATCACTATCATCAACAGTGACACATTTGTGCCACACAGCTTTTCCAAGTGTTACCTTTTTCCAGACAGGCGCAGCTCAAGAAGATCCCGCTTCGACAGGTCAAGGTGCAGTGCTGACCCGTTTGAAGATGTTCCAATGGGGTACAGGACGCAAAATTGGCATTTTGGGATGGGATGGATTGGTAAACAATCTTATGGGTGCACTGTTATTCCGTTATTCCACTTTGTGAGCCAGACCGCAATGTGACGGTGTGTTACGGTCAGATATGTAGGCCTGAATGTTCTCCACGTCTTGATCCGCTATGCTGTTGCTCAAAAATGGAAGACATGCTTGGAAAAGTTCGGAAACAACGACGGAAGGACACCAGAGCCAGAGCATTCCAATCCATTGCTACCCAACTTCATTGTCATTCTATAGAAGAGCAAGCCGGAGTAAGCCACATCTTGAACTGTTGGCGGTTGTAGCACACAGAGCAATATAGTGTGGAATTCTGATGTGAACGCTTGCACAAATGCCGCGTCCGGTCAAACGTCGAACGAAACCACAGCCATTTTCCAAGCATTTTGTTCATGAGTTTGCTCTTGGGAAAAGTGCTCAATCCCTTGGATTGCCTAAAATTGCAAGCCACTCATGCTAAGGTCTGCCAAAGAGGTGGAGCCGAATGGAGAGGTCAATATTCAGGTCAGGTGTTTGAGCACATCATCAGCCCTTGCAACCGGATCATTTGCTAAGTGCCAGCTGAGTGTCAGGCAGCAGCTGACCAGATCCTCAACAAACTCGACTTCCATTTCCATTGTGAGAAGGCCATGTTTGGAAGCCACATGTCCGTTTCATTGCTAGAGAAGATAATACACACATAATATACAATCATACATACATACATACATGCATGCATGCATGCATGCATACATACATACATACATTCACATACATACACATACATACACATACATACACATACATACACATACATACAATTACATACACATACATACACATACATACACACACACATACACATACATACACATACATACACATACATACACATACATACACATACATACACATACATACACATACATACACATACATACACATACATACACATACATACACATACATACTGCGAATGGGGATTCAACCACAGTGCAATATAACATCCCCACCTGTACAGACCTAAACTTCCAGCCAAGGGGCATATATCTCATTGCTCCTTTGGCTCAAGACCCCTATACTGCAGGACTCCGAGAAAAGAAAGCAATGGCCGAAGCAGCTGATTGATTGCCATCAACAGGAACAATTCAACTCGAACAGTACATAAACCGGAGATAACCTCCGATTCACAGGTTATCAGCCGTAGGTCTCCCACGGAGCCTACGAGCGGGTAGCCGCGGAACTTACTGATGGCTGAACAAGACAGCAGCGATAACGCATTTTCTTTCTCTGGACATGCCGCCGCACCAGCTGCCGGCACGCAGTCAAATTCTTCACAGAGTATCGATACTGGTGGAAGCGAAACCTCAGAACTGAGACCAAGCCTACCCAGACGACCTCTGGTTGCTCCGAGGGGGAGACAAATTTCGACAATGCAAGCAATTGAAGATAGGGACAGCACACCGGGAAAGAGAAGATCATCTGCCCGACAATCGTCGCCTCCGATGACTCCAAGGACTAAGGCAAAGCCTACCTCATCGAATCCGCCTTCACCG